CCATGGTGGCGTCGATAATAGGCTTGCTTGGACTATGCGAAAGACTCATCGCGGCACTGTCAATTAAATCCTGCTGCTCCGGAACCTCTGGGTCATCCTCAGCAATGACCAGTTTCTTTCCATTTTCAAGGTTCGTACGCCAGGGACAATAGCACACAAAAGGCTTTGTTAGTTAGACTAACAAGCTAGAATTATGAACTCTGTTACTCTCTCTATTCGGCCAGCTACGACACACTGCGACTGCAAATGTGATGTTATTTTGTTGCGCAACCGAGCGAACCGGCAGTCTAAAATCTTTTTCATTTGATCGGTAAAGTACTGGGTAATATAGAAATAATAACAATATTATGTATGTTTGCAGCTAAACATGGGAATTCTTATTTGAAAAATCTTTACAGCATTTTACAGGTCTATCCCAATACAGTATGTAAATAATGGAGGTTAGCTTCCTACCCCAGAAACAATCAATGATGAATTGGGTAAACGGTTGGTTTGATAAATTCAAAAAGGCCTTAAAATAGCGTACGAACATTGGGAACATCTTCATCATCTGGAATTTCTTCCTTCACCGCAATAGGAGAGGATGCTTCGGATGGGCTACCATTTCTTGTTGTTGTAATGAACCACTCTGAAAAACAAATTCGTTTCTTAAATTTTGGAAAAAAATACACGCTAGGATGTCTTTTGAGCTTCGTAACAAAATCTTTTATGTGGGCACTAATTGCGCATTAAAATTTTACATGAAGTCCATATGCTTTAACCAACACTATAGGTATTTCGCTAACGGAACTTAAACGCCCTAATCGTCATGTATAACTTGATTTGCTATAGTAACGCGTACACGTGATGTTTGGCGTTATTGTTCGAGCCACGATCGGTTAAATTAGAATTTGGATTCATTTAACCGTACTCACTCAGTGGATACAGTAAATATTAGTAGGTATGGCTTAGAAATGTTTCTATTAACTGCTATATATTACTATGGTCAGTTAAATGGAGCGCGAATGGATGTTTTGAACCACAAACCGTCGAACTGTCGTAACTGGAAAGATAAAGAAGAGTCTTTAAAAAGACCGACAAATTTAATTTCAATTAGTTATTATTATTATTATCTATGCGGTGGTCAAGTAGCTTTATTAAAAACTACTTGACTACCGCATAAAAAGACTAGTTGATGACTATTGACCGTCAATGAAAACCGCGATCGCGTCTCTAGGCAGTTATCTGTTCGAAAACTTTTGAAGCGTTTCAACATATATCAGAGCGCTGTCAGTGAACAAGACCTTGCAAACTTATTGCTCTGTGAAAGGTACGAAAGTAAGTAGTTCAGAGTCCTAAGCATTACAATTACATTTTTATTTTCTGCTTGTGAAAATATCAATAAACTCAGTGAGTGGTTGCTTTTAGATTGTGATGTGAATCTTAATCGAATGGCTGTTTTGATGATGAGAAGATGTCGACTCACCTGCAATAATAGGAAAAATTAGAATAAACGTTTCACGATTTAAACTCTAACGTATGTGTCGTTCATTTATATATCATGTCGAAATTATTGAATAAATTACTAATGAGCTAAAAATTTCTTTACGTTATATATAAAAACGTTATATCGTCCGTAGGAATTTGCCTACCTTTTCTTCAATTAATTTACTCTATAGGTAACCCATGGTCGATGGGAATTTTCTATTTTTACAATACGTACTATCTATTGGACTGATGGTGCGTTGGTAACGTGTTTGTTTATTAAACTAGGTAAACACGAGAAGTGGTCTGGGTTTGAAATGTAGCCGTGTGTTTTCGTGTTGGATGCCACCTGTCTGAGAATAACTTAACGGCACTGCCGAACGTAAAAACCAGGTAAGCATTTTTCATAAGTACGACATTTTTCGAGCATTGTTCTTAGCTTAAGTACGATGCAAAGTAGGAATTTACCACATTACATATCAGAGATAAAATTGTGCCAATAAAATATTAAGTATAATTTAAACCTAACTGAAGGTTTCTTGCATTATCTACTCTAGAGCACTACAGGATAAGCGCAAGCGATCAGTATAATCCGTCGATTGTTTTCACGTTTTATCCTCTGACTTGGATCTATCGTGACAATAGCATGTTCTGAGTGTAATTTCAACTCAAAGGAAGTCGTCAAAGATGGCTGCTACAGGTGGAAAAAAATGCTTCGTCAACATCTTCTGTGTTATGCATTTCGTAAAGGCTAAAATGCTGCCAAAACAGCTTGAGATATTTATTTTGTCTTCGGTAGCGACGCTATTGCTGAAAGGGCTGTTCAAGAGTGGTTTGCCAAGTTTTAAAACGGTGTCGAAGACGTGGAAAATGTTCTTTGCCCTGGTCGATCGTTTGAGTTCGATGACGCCCATCTACCGCCACTTTTAAAGGAAGAAAGCGTACAGACATCTCGGGAATTGACCGAAAACCAGCAGCCACACGACTGCTGTAAAGTGTGCTAACTTCAAATCCTCGGGTTTGCACTGAAATTTGTCGCTTGGGCATTTCATAAACTCTCTGAACACAACTCTGCGTTTGTTAGGACTGTTAGGGCCTGATCCATTCGGAATTGAATTCATTGGGAAGTAGAGACATTTTTATGGGAAAGTTGTGTAGACTAGACTGCGCTATCTAACAAAGAAACCAGCAAACGACGTCAGATAATCCTGCTCCATGACAAGCGAGGCCATGCACGAAAAACTTCGTTAAAGCTGTTTTTCTAGACTTAGAAGGGAAGGTCGGATTTTAGTTTCTTTTGTTCGCTTTGTTTTTTCCGCATTTTTCTAACCTTAACATCAAAACGTAACTGAAAAACTATTTTGAGACTAAACCCACTACCCGTTAGTGAGACGGCATACATTATTTGGTGGAGAGATGAGAAAAAAAAACCATGAAATATTGCGGAGATACACAATAATGAAGTTATTGTTACAGGAATGAAAAATGTGGGGTTTTGCATTTAGTAGAAAAAAAACGCATTTTTTCAGCCTAATATATAGCCAACGCGTTAGGCCAAATAGTGATAAATTTTTCTCACATATTAGCAATGTCGGTTTTTCAACTCATGTACCAGAAAAATACTATGTGTGGGATGACGAAACTAGGTGCTCACATTATGCCCCAAAACATTTCCTTTATCGAACACCGGGACTCCCACAAAGATATGTCTTGGCAGTTGTACAGTTAAAATCGTCAACAAAGGCTTTGAATTTTCAAAAGATACGACTCTAATCTATAAATTTTAAGTGTACATATGCTATTTAAATAACGGATACATATCAATGGCACTAGTAGTTTGATAAAGAATCGAATAGTCTCCTTGTTTATGTAGAGTTCTGATAGCTTTGTATCGTAATAAAGCTAACTTTCATTTTTCTCTGTTTACACGTTGTGGGTCAGAGTAGTTCTGATCACTAATTTAAAAGAATCGAACAAATATAATTCAATCAATCAGTAATATAATTGGAAAATAATAGAATATCGAAAGCGTTAAATAATTTTAGAAGTAGTAGCACGCCGGTGAAAAATTATATTTGTGTTCACTGATAAGACAGAACTTCGTCGCTTATTGAAGAAAATTCTAAAAACTCCAGCGATATGAGTCAGCAGGTTATAACTACATGTATTAGACGTCCATGTTAGACCCCAAGTGCGGCAATATACTTTTCATGAGGACAGATGATCTTTTTCTTGGATTACTGCAGGTGAAGCTCATTTTTGTCGAAAAGTAGATGAAAGATTTGGGAAAGTATACCTTTCCCATTGTCATTCTATAACCAAGTAGTGATTTTCTCATAGGTTGGTATCTGTAATACTTGATAAACTATCGGAGGTTAGTCAACTAAGTTAACGATACTTTATATCCTATAATTTCTAACTGTAAAGCATTCGCACTATAAAAGATCAAGCAATAATATAGAGTAACACAGCGACAAGCAGAAATATAAGTCATGTGATGACCCGTAGACAGTCTTCCCCAAATGATACCAAAACAGGTACGATTGCGTTCTATGCTCGATGAAGCGCGATGTAGACGCATGCTTCTAACCATTGTTTTTATGTCCGCATATATTTCAGATCAATATTAATTGAGTTCGATTTATTTTGTGAAGGAGATATTGCCAAACGATCATACCAATTTTTACGTCTAAAAGATATATTTTTTCTTTAAAAATGGCATAGAAACTGCTGCTCAAGAAAGGGTGTCCTTGCACATAAGTTACTATGCACTGAGACACAATTTTTACTTTTCATTCGTACAATAGAGCGCTTCCCTACGTGTTTCATACCGTTTACATAAACTACGAAGCATGCAATGCAATTAGGTACAAGCACACAGATGCGATGATACACTTCTACATTTCTAAATACAGGAATTATAAAAGCATTAACAAGCACTGTAAAAATTTACACACACACACACACACACACACACACGCACATAAATACACTCTATTGCGGAGGGGACGCTTGCCGTTATCTTACAGTCAAAGGGGTAAATCGGGAGTTCTTTTTCCCGTTAGCTAACATTTAGCACATATAACGGTCACTTGCCATCGGTACTGACTGGCGTCAGACTTCGCGCCACGGCTCTAGTCGCAACGGTGCGCGATCTGAGCACCTCAGCAAAAGCACTTCAGCTATCAATACGAAAGGTGCAACAACCGTTGAATAACGGTATCGCTTTTCTGCACGCCGCTCGGCATAGAAGCTTGCTACCAGAGCCTCACTACAGCACACATGTTAAAGGTATTTCGTAAGGGAGAGAAACTCTTGGTGTGGCAAAAGTAATTCCAGTTCTATTCTTTATATTATGCGCTCACACAGTCTGTAATAATACAAAGTAAGAAGCTGCTAGAAAACATCGATCGCATTAAGCTGACTGTGTGGAGGAGAACTAAAGCTTCTATGTTATGCTACCATATGACTGGGATGAGACAGTGGATCTACAAATCAAAACATTCGATTTCGCTGAGCGCAAAGTACTAGAAAAACTTGTAACCGAGTGTAATGAGTTTTTGTAGGAAGCACTATTATTATTATTATTATTATTTTTGACTTTTATCGTGTCTTGGTTGCTTACCGCAGTTCTGTGTCGTTCTGCATGGTGCACACAGTAAGAAGCTGGGGTAAGTAAGAAGCTGGGGCTATATTTTTATGTTTTTACAACAGAGGTATTAATTATCGATAACTGTTACTCCTTCAGGGTGACTGTGCCGGCGTCACGTAGTAAGCGTCTGGGCATATATTAAACGTTTCAAATAAATCTATCTATTTTAAAGTGTCTAATAAAGGTAATTCGTTTTCTATTGAAGATGAAAAGAATCGTACATTAACACAAAATGGCGTTGCTAGCCAAATAGTCAAGTAGCTTTGCTTAAAAGTATAGGAAGTGAAATTTAGTGTAGTCAAATGTAGTGAATTTTTCAAGCAAGCTTTCTTATTTCTCATTTTGTTTTTCAACAATTGTTGTGCATCTAATAATCATTACGTTCGGCATCACAATAAAAAGCTACACTCTGACTGGATGTTACGGGAGCGTCTTCATAGAAATGTATCAGCAATTAGCTAAATGTGGCCTCCTTTTAAATACAACAGAGTTGCGAAGCATTACTTATAGAGTCGCCTTTAGATACGAGCCTTTTAAACAATACAACGTTTTTTTTTTTTCATTAATTTTCATAACCTGAATGGTGCCCAGTAGTTTCTACTTTTTAACATATGTGTATTTCCATAAGCTTTTGTCTTAATTGAATATTTAACGAATTAAACATTTCATCTACATGGCTGAGAATCAGATATGTTCAAGATAATCGACCGATGACTAATCAATGTTCGAGTACTACGTAAACGAACCTTAGAAAGATCCTACGTACTACCATGAAATCCATTACACGTAGTAAATTTTCATAGTAGGCAGAGTTTCAAGGCGAACATATAGAATATAATCGCGACACCTGGGAAATCGCAGTGTATCAACGAGTTTGAATGCAGTTTTTTGCGTTTCTCGATGATTTTGGTGTACGTAAATAATCGAGTAATTTTTTGAGGAGTACAATGGCATATCCTATTAGGATACTGCACGGCTTTTAGCTGGGGGCTCGTAAGAAGAGATAACAGCTAATTCATTGGTTGGGCTTTCAACCTAATGGTTATGGTGGTTGCTAGAATTTTTAAATATAAATGAGTTCGGTTTAGAGGAGAGTTATGCTTGAAAACTATATTGCTGGCGACAGCTTTGCCAGCAACCAAAATACACTAACAAACACAATTACGCAGTAGCAAAATGTAGGCGCTTGACCAATGTAGCTTTCCTATTCACTCTAATCGTATAATTCTTTGATACTGGTTTGAACCATGTTAAATCTATTAAAAGTGAAAAACCCATCCTAGTAATAAAACATGACATCGCGTCGGAAACAGAAATCATCATTTGTGTTTCCGATACAAAATTTCTTATGAATAATATAGTTCATAAAAAAATTCATGCATCCTTATGGTCGCTTCTTCGAAATACAACGATGTTTAAGACTTGGATGAAAACGCAAAATTAGGGCATTGCCTACCTTTGGGCTACAATCTACAATACGAATCCCAGTCTACACCAAGCGCAAACTAAACACGCTTACCTGTACATTCAAAACGGATAGTATAAATTAATTAGTGTTTAACGCATAAGTGCATTATGCCACCCACATGGTAGCGTTAAACAAGACCTTGAGAAAGCAGATTTGCCCCGAGGTAGCCGCCCGTTCCACCACCTTAGATTATATTTGTACTCGATGTTTCAAGCAGAGTTTAATATAAGAATATTTTGATCTTTTAGAATCTGCCACAAGTTTTTAGATCCGCAAGGAATCGTTTGAATATGATCACCTTAATTGTACTATTTCTGCTTGTCTGTCAATCAATATAATTCAAAATATGAAACAACTCATCCTGACACAATATAGCGGACATATCGTGTTGAGAATGCCAGAATCCATATAATATTCGCGCTAATTTAAAAATAATATTATACGCGATGCTTAGTTGATTCAAATATGGATAGCTGCGTGAGGTTGATGGTACGAAAGCAGTCGAGCGCGTTTCGACTTCACTTAAACGAAGGAACACCCTGCTTATCAGTCGTATTCGTGGTGGACGACTCCGTGGACTCTATTAATTCCGACCTGGTCGAGGTCCTACAGGAAAATCAGGTACCGCAAGGGTAAGTTGTGTAAAGTATTTTACTGGAAAACATTATTGTTTGCGAACATTATTAGTCAAGGTTTAACTTTAAATTGAATTCAGTGGCCGGATATGTACTTTATTAGATTTAGCTGTATATATTTATTAACAATTTGACATCTCGGTTTGTGATACGCCTACGGGATATTCAGAGCCAGCTGCAACGCCTCTGAGTAATAACACAAACACAAGCAAAAAAAGAGAAAACAAATTAACATGAATTCATTTAATCAAGTTCATGATAATCTGGTATAATAAAAGAAAAGATTGGTTTTTCTAGTTGTCCTCAGGCAATTTAAAGAGATATGCATATCTTTTTTGACATTAAGTGTGCTTTTACCTTGATATTCAATATCATTACACAAACATCATCAGAGAATTACACAAACAGAAAATTTAGTCAAAGATAGCTTAGTAAGTTTATTAGTTCCAAGAAATGCGTTTTTGTGGTTTTATTGTTAATTTTAATGAAAAAGAGTTTTGCATGTCTTTCATCCGCAAAGATTCATAAGCAGACAACGGTTTTGTGGGAAGGTCGTTTTCCTGCGATTTGTCTCTTTTTTTTTGCCTCCACACATAGCTTGCAACGTATATTTCAAAACAAACAAGAAAGTATTAGAAAAATTGACTTTAGATAATTTCAAGCTTTGATTAAATCCTAAAGCGTGAGAAAGACACTAAAAACCTTATTTAAATGTATATTTTTATTTTATTTTGACATATGCTTTGATATTGAAATAAAAATTTACACTACAAAGAAAAGCGAGATTGCGCAACTGGTTAGGAACTGAAGTTATACTAGTTTCTGTTAGGTTTCTATAACTCACTGAATACCTCATACAGATCGGTATATTGAATGAATATTTCTTATATTTATTTCAGTTTAAAAACCGTCAAAGAGACGGCATCATTGCGTGTAGATACCAATTTACCTCAAACTCAGTTTCGTGTTGAAGAACTTGTACGTTCTCGACAAAATGTAAGTAAACTGTATGGAAGCAGAGATGCCCTAATGTCCTAATTTTTTTACCATTTATTTCTTCTTCGTGTAACTTAAGTGCGAATAAAACTAGATTAAATTTACTGAACAGTCTATGTTACATTTCAGCCTTGGACGTCATCGTTTATCTGTGCCGTATGTCGAATAGAAACGCACAATTTTCAACAGCTGAATATACATTATCGGTGAGGCTATTATTTTTAACAAGGGGTATGGTGCATGTATAAATCTTTATGGTTGAGGATTCAGTAAATGCATTAGTCAGTGCTGTCTCGCGCTTCCGAAGTAATGTTTTATATTTACTATATTCACTTGTCCACTTTAACATCATTCGTGTTACAACTGTATGTACCTATATATATGATTTTACTTTAACATCGAAGTATCAACGCATAGAATGCGTAGAACTCCACCAAATAATTTTCAGCTTTCCAATTTAAAAATTTGTCAGAATTATTGTACCTACTAATGTTACGAACGACGAGATGTGGCGGGTCTACGACGAGTGCTTTGTGCATGGTCGTCCACGTTTGCTTGCTCCGGCGTTTGTATGATATACATATGATGTTATGCTGACGCCCCGGAAAGTATCTAATACCTTACTTATTTCGCTTTATGTCCAGCGAACACCTGGTGGATGGTCCTTTGAGATGTTCATATTGTGAACGAGCGACGTTTTTTCAAAAGCTTGCCACCTTCAAAGAACATCTTCGGAGTCATTTGGAAACCACCAGAACAACCTCAGGCGTGACAAACTGTGTCAGTGACTGCACGATGACACCTAAAAAATTCGCAGCTGAATGCGAGATGTGCCATAAGAAATTCCATACCGTAAAAGGTTTGGGAGCGCATCGGAGAACTCATAAAGCTCAACCTGGAGAAGTTGAACTTCAGAAAACCCACCGAAAAGACCAACGGTACCGCTCAACAGGTGTGTGCTAATACTCTAGAGTCTTGTTCGCATAAAAGCAGTAAAAGTTTACCAGATTTCATGTACTGAACGTTTTTTTCAGTTCATCTCATTTGGACGGACAGTATATCTAAATAGCCTCATGTTAAACAGGAATTTCTTAGCACCACCGCTGGAGGGTAAAATACGTTTACGACAAATATTATAATAGGTATACATAGCAAGTAGATTAAAAAAATAGATTTTTTGGACATTTATTATGTGGGCTAAATTAATAAGACACATTTTGTAATTCTGCTTGCTATTAATGTCAGAAATATGCATAATTTCGAACACTTCATTAATTCTAACAAACAAAACGGAAGCATATTAATTTGTCACGCTATTTGCATTCAGAAGTGTATACTTGTAGACACTTATATATTATATATATAGAAGTGTATACCTGTTATACCTGTAGACATTTGAGAGTTTTCATTAAAGTTAATGTGTAATTTTAACTTTAACCAGATGAGAAGACCAACGAAGCTCACGGAATAACTCAGCAGTCGGAACGACCTGCAACGGTGCGTGAATTGCTGGCTGGTTCTACCTGCCGCCCTGGATCGAACCTTGTCACAAAAAAAGGCCTGCTTCTTACTTGCCCTATCTGCAACGCGGTCTTCAGCTTACAGACAAAACTGGGTATTATCACCTTTTACAATATGGAATCGCTACATCCTTTATCGGTGTATGTGGTGTAAATGGAGTGTATATCATATATGTATGTATTTCTAGAGTAGGCTGTTGACAACACTTTTTAATTGATAACTTTCTTGCATTAATACTATGTATATGGCCGCTTTATATATAGCTCCGTTTAGGAAAATATGTAGATGACCCGCGACTTTGCGACACATTAACTTCGACGAGGATCAACAAGAATTGGCTTCGGTTCTATTAGAGACTATTAAGTAATAAGTGTAAATTGTAGACGGACTGTGCTTTTTAGATGGAGTTGCGTGACTGGATTTAGTGTATTAATGTTATCTTCTGGTTCCAGAGTCTCACATGCTCCGACTGCATCACGAACAGCTAACTGACAGATGTCCTCAATGCGATAAAGTTCATTTGTCCATATCTCAGCTCCGAAATCATATACTCGAATGTCACACAGGTTCATATCTTTGGCAAGAATAGAGAAATTTTGTTTTGATGTACAAATGTATTACTGTACAACAATATGAATACAAACATTTTCGATGGGTTAATTACACATGGGTCTCCTTCTCGTAGAACATCCTCCTCAGAAAAAATTTTTTTGTTTTAAACACAAAGTTTACCGCTTTCAGGTCAAGCTTTTTCTTAACGGATCCAGTTATAATAAACGAATTAACAAATAAGGTTTTTCTGGTGTATGTGAGCGTAGCTCACTTCTCTTTCTTGACGGAAGCTAGTTCAGACCCCTCAGGACATCCGCAAATGTCATGTAACCATTGCTCGCAAGTTTATCATGATCCTGTGGAACTTCTCCGTCACTGCAAACTTGTAAGTATTCAAGATCCTAGTGCGTTACAAAATACAGTTCTGTTAAATGTACATTGGAATGAGAGGTTAAGCCTTAGCCAAAAGTTATCCGGAAAAAATTACCATAAGTGCGTATAAATATTATGATCACCATGTTCAGAAAACTTTTAACTTTAAACGATAGGTGACGAAGTTATGTCAACCCCAAAGTCTTTCGTTCACTCCTTATGTCGTAGTTAAAATTCAATATTGACAGCAGAAGGTTAGTTATGTATGAGATCACGGTCCGTAACCTAGTGCATGATAACTAGCCTCTGTATGGGTCCAGCAGAATAAAAAGCTAATCTGACTGAAGCACATGACGAAACGCATAATCAAAATACTCTTTGTAATATAACAAAGTTATCAGGGGTTTATGATAAAAGACGCTACATTCTATTTCAGATCCACTCAGATCACTGTCGCTCACTATATTGTCCTCACTGCGGCAAAAAATTTTCTACACAAAAACGATTTGCCAATCATTTAGCTTCCAAAGGTTAGGTTCGTCAATGCATATTAAATTGCCCTTAAGAGTCGTTTATTTCTTATGTGGTCATGATGAATTTGGCTTATATTATTTGAGTCATATTATTAATTAACATATTTGCTTTCATTCTGTTAAGCTACTTAATAAATCCAAAATTTTTTAATGAAAACATTTTAAAAATCTAATGCAAAATAACTCTTTATGTAAAAAAGAGGTTTAGAGTTCTATTATTGATATACATTTTATTAAACATTTTACATCTATCAAATTTTATAAATGTTTAAAAATCAAATTAATTTTTGTGAATATATTTTTAGAAAAAGGAAATTTGTAAAGTATTATTATTTGTATAATTGATAATATTATTATTATTACTACTATTTTTTTAAGCATTAAAGATTTGTCTCATTATTAAGACTGAGGCCAAATGTATGAGCTATCGATTTATGTTACTATATAATATTAAAAAAATTTCTTAACAGTTATCATTAAGATTATAATGTCTATCATTACTGGATTTTTAAACCTTAACAAGTAAGAAGGATATGTTTACATCCTATGTATGATGGAATATTTGCTTTGCTAAAGAAGTACTGTATCTTTAAAAATGAATTTTGTAGGAAATGAATGCGCCCGAAGACCATCTTGCCAGATATGTTTTAGGGGCTTCTCTTCTCAGAAAGCTCTGGCCGATCACATGCGTTCGATCCACCCTCAAGATGGGCAGATTCATAGGTTAGTCTGCGTCTCTCAGTCAGCAAATTGATCACGTAGAACCAATGTTTCGAGGTTGATAATCCTGCTATTATTAATGACCCTATTATTTTCAGCTGGATACATGCCGATGCGTTTTTATAATTGCTATCAACCGTTACATTATTTTCTTTCAATAATTCCTATTAGCGATAAAGTCAAGTGTTTTCTCTGCGTGTTTTCCCTTCATTATACAGGATGTGGTACTGCACAGAATGCAATGAAGGCTATGCAACAAAAGCAGCGTTACGATACCATATTAAAGGTATGGATCTTAATGCGACCCTATATATATGTTCCCTTCGACATAACATATTATATGCTTAGACCATATGCAGAAAGTATTTAGATACTACTCTATATTGCTATCGTGTTGATCGACGTTGTAGCATTCTTATGACTTCGTACCGGTGTTTCTGATATAGTGCAATATGCAGTTTTTCAGGAAGTATACGCACAAAATATTTTATTTAGTTACAAAGTTTAACAGATAAATGCAAATGTCAACTTACATGTTCAGCGAAACATGGATCTGAACGTTTTCCTTGCACGTATTGCGATAAGACGTTTGCTCTACCGGTGCAGAGACACCGACACGAAAGTCGTGTTCACCAAGGGGTAAGTACCAATTCCAGTTTCATTCGAATATGAAAAAACTATTATTCGTAGCTCGCACAGATAATTTGACCCGTTAGTTTTATAGTTTATCTATTTTTATTACTAAACTAAAGTATAATTTTTAACTGTGAGTTGCTTAGTGGTGCATACACTCACTCATTTATATTCCACAGAGTCCAAAACGTTATGCATGCAATTTGTGCTCGATGGCGTTCTTTACGACGAGAGAACTGCTCCAGCATCTTCTAAACGGCCACAAAATCGTGCCGGACGTGAATGAGCGCGGGGAGGCAATTCTACCTGATGGAACGGTTAGTTTATATCTACATTATATTAAATTAATGATAAATTGAAGTAACAGATACGCGTCATTTGTTCGTCGACTAGACATATACCACTGTAAATCGATTTGCCGTTACTTTCCGAGTAACGACCTTAATCTCCTTTAATATGTAGAGACAGAGGATACAGTGAATATTTATGTAGACTATTAAGTATCGTGTGTTTGTGTGTGTATACTTAGAAAATCGCGTAAAATTGTGACAGCCCTGCTTTTTTTGGTTAGTGGTAATCGTTCTCTGTACACTGGCAAACACAGCGCACGGTGGCTTGTCCTACCCTAAACAATTAATTGAGGAATCAACAAATTATTCTAAGAGCACTGTTTTCATTACATTTACCTGAGATTATATTCAATAAGTAAAATAATAAACGTCAAATTTTGGTCGATCAGAGCAAAAATTACCATGAATGTAATAGTTCAGGTTAATCTGTATAAAATCTGCATCCCCTCTTTATGAACTTACGTTTAGTTTGGATTCCTGTATTACTAATAAGGAAAACTATAATTATTGTTTATGGTTTCTCACATATTTAGGTGGGTCCCACAATGAAGTATTATGCTTGTCAACACTGCTCGCACATGACGTATTCCCGAAAAACTTTTATTCGCCACCAGGCGAGCCATACAGGAATTTGGCCATTCAAGTGCGACGTCTGTGGTAAGGTGTGTGAACATAGCAGCAATAAAGAGATTTAGATGTTGCGTACCAGTACTATTTTAACAATGACAGTGCTAAAGCAATAAAATTACATTAGATATGGGCAATTACAGAACCCGTTTCCGCAAGCATCATCTTACCGATCTTTAAAAAGTTGAGCAAGTTAACCACTTCAGCAAAGAGTTTTTTTAACACTGATGACAAGGATATTGAGGTCATCCACATTCTGTAATTAGTTCTTCCCTTATAATGCACGTGCGGATACTATTTAATGGATTCAGTGGAATTACCATTCCTCTAAACAAGCAGATTTTTCTGTAAGTATTGTTCTTCGATGGAAACACAATTACAATTACGTGAAAGCAGCTTTTGTCCAGAGGTATGAATCGGCGACGAGAAGCTCAGTCGGCTGTTTGTTTGGATCTTTTTTAGATTCCGAGACTAAGACGCCTGCATTAGGGAGCTAACGTGTTCATGACTTCCTTTCAGGGCTTTTCGGAACGTTTTCAAGCTTTAAAACACGTCCGAGTCCAACATACCGTAGCACCAAATAATAGTCGATGCGATGCGCGAACAGCTTCCAGAACAAACGACAGGTCCGCGCACGAAAACGAACAGTGCACGCAGTCTGTTGGTGAAGAGATAGCGTCCCAGGCTAAAGACACAGTTCATACTTTGTTTACCAGCAGTAAGATTATACCCGGCTATGGAAAACGAGAACACCATAACAAAAACCCTGAAAAACAAATGTTAGAGGTTCGTATCGCACTAACCTAAAGGATTATCGTATAGTTATGGTAGTTTTCTATATGCAGCGGACTGTTACTATATTTAGTATAGTTAATTAAAAAGCAATGCGTCTTTGAAGCACTTGCGTGTGTTAAGATTAATGCGTTACATTTTTCCTACAGTGTTCTGCAGCGCAAATGGTCCTATACATTTACGCACAGTGTGTGTATTCCCTGAAAATTACAATTTGTTGGGCGTTCGTAGTAATTTTCGATAGACGATTTATCGGTCAGTTGGTCTGGTGTTGGTCTGTGATCAGTTGTATATGAGCAGCGCCTTTTAATAATTATCACTCTAATTTTTTCGGGATGGATGCGCAAATGTGTGTAGCCGAAACTCAACAGAATAAGAAAACCTAAAATATCTTAATTGTATTTGCAGTATACTGACCATTAAAACTAAACGTACCTCGGCTGGTCAAGTTGACGTTTGTAATTTTGTTATAAATTCACACGTTTAAACGTTATTAGGTTGCCACTGAAGTTAGCGCCATCAAAATCTAAGTTTCTTATTATTATTAGTATGAGGATAATAACGTTTTCAAGGATCGGCCATTTTATTTGAGTACTGTAAGAAAAAGTATATAGGAAGTGGCGATAGATCAAGTGTTCATATCGACTGCAGATCTGACCGATTTTCAATCGTACTTGCTAGGACGTATCGTAAAATAACAGTTGCTTTTTCTTAAGTTAAGTATTTTTTTATATATGCATATTTAAATGTCATATTTCAGAACTATACCTCGATATCAAAAGCTACCGACGTTAAAAAGTTCAAAAGGTGTAAGATTCGTAATGCAAATCCTCATCTTCAATCACCAAATGCCTTCAAAGGTTGGCCATACCAGCCTTGTAACTATCTTCGTCGCACGGAACGGACCAGTTGTTGGAGGTACCGCTGCAGGCGCTGCTCCAGAAGCTTCCAGGGCCCAGTATGTCTTGCTCAATACTTGTCTTGCTTCGGTCGATTGCTACATCAGGGAAGGGGCACATTATTTAGCTTTGTTATTAGTGCTAAGGGGTTTTGAGCCCAGTACAAAAATAGCATCGCAAAGTCTCCATATTTTTAATATCATGATGCGAAAGAATTAGTGTGTGAATAAGTATGACGCATCCCAGATGTATTTTTATATACAAATATTGTTATGGGTAATGCAAAGAAAATGTCATTTTCCGCCTCAGTGCAAATGGCGTAATTACCAGCACATGAACAGCTGGTTCTTAGTGTTTGTTTTTCATTGACTCAGACTTGAACTCAGTCCGTCTAAGTTATGACCAACTAAAGCACAGATGTACTATTTTGGGGAACTGTCTACTACCTGAAACGTAACTGTTTGAACGAAGTTAGTATCTAAATATGTATACAGATATACTCAAATAATTATGCACCTGCGATTGATCTAGGTATTTGATATTTTTCTTGAAAATGTTTCAGGGGGCTTATTTGGTACACCGCTATCGTCTTTGCCAAGCGCTTCAGCAGGTGGTTTACCGTAGCTGTCCATACTGTCCTGTACAGATCGTTTCATGGGCTGTATTCCAGATGCATCTTCGAATGCACAGATATTCCGATATTAAAGCGTATGCTTGCTCAATATGTACAGCCGAATTTTCCTTCGAGTCATCTCTAACTGTCCACATACGACAAAGCCATCCTGAAGTAGGGCATTCTCGTTTTACGTGTCCTCGTTGCAGACGACGATTCCTCACTGAGTGGTCAATGAGAACACATCAAAAGGTACGTAAGCCATATAACCGCTTACGATCAAAACAGCGAAGTTCAGCAAATGCTTAGGAGCTTACCCTCGACTTTCTATTGCAGAAGCACGGACAATCTGACCGAACCGAACTAAATATTATCGAAAATAGCGAAGAGTTGTGCCCGTCAGTTGGCACTTCTGCCGCTAAAAATCGTGGCAGTCTTTTTGTGGCCATTGAGGCGACAACTGGTACCTCAACGAATGTAGAAGAGGCGAGTACTGAAATATAATTGCTATGCACTTACGTGTTATATGAACTTGGTCATTTATTGAATATTCGATTGCTTGCAGACTACAGGCCACGGCCGGAAATAACTTTGCAGTTGCTAATACATTGCCGACAAGCACGTGTCAATGTACTCTTTTCCAACGCCGCTACACCTTTGCGGTAACAGATGAGATATTCAACTCTGGTCTGTAAAATAATTCCTACATCAGGACAGATCACATCTTTTCAATATCCCTAGGAGACTAACGCCCTAATTTTAGATTTAGATCCACGTTTAAATAATCTTTCAGAAGCGGCATATTGGGTGAACTTTTCAACCCCTTCACCCGCACACTTTGGTCGTTCGTATGTCTCCTTCATGAATTTGTATTATAAACACCCCAAGCGTCGTCTTCGTTGTATTTTCTTCGCGTTGTAACGAACTTCGTGATACGCCAACAGCTGCTAGTTACTTTTGTTCTGTTGCTAGCTGAATTTTTTTCTTTTGATAGATTCAAATGGAGAATTGCCATATCAACGTTTTTTTCCAAAAGAAGGGCCAGCTATTGTAAGCTTCACTGCAAATAGAACCACTCCATTGCTTTAACTTCGATATAATTCTATGTTGTTGTACAGGTGATAATCTCATCAGAAGAGTTACTCGAAATCGAACAAATGGATCAGCAAAGTGTATAGGATATTGCGAACGTCATTAACGTAGTCTCTTGCATTGATTAAAACGTTTTTAAGCTATGATTCGTTCTCATCAACTTATTCAAAGAAGTCCTTAGGATTTATTTAGCATGATAAGTATTTGGTATGACTAATCGCTCGATTTTACTTATTAAAATCAGATTGTAGTGTAGATCTCAAATCAGCTTTAACATGTCGACAGGCGATAATAAATTTAGAGATGTCTTTAGTCAGAAAACCTGTCAGTTTTTTTTTATCCTTTATCATTTTTGATTGTGCGACTTATATACATTTAGTTCGCATAATAGATGTTTGCCAGAATTAAGGCAAATTAAATTACTTGAAGTAAACCCCTAATTGCTCGTCTGTTAGGGAGTTATAACAGGAATTTAACTTCTCCAACAATTTTAATTTCGTTGTTGAGAACATGTGCGCAGCTTCATATTTGACACTCGCAGTAAAACACAAATCTTCTGCTAGTCTAACTGTGCGTGACAATTTCTCATTCTATCGAAGACCACATTCTAATTAAGGAATAGCTTATAACAAATATTGGAGTTGTGGCTTGTTTTCGACTGGTTTAATCATTCAAACTTATTTTCTCAGTTCTGTGTAAGCTCTTTTGACAAGTATATACATTTGCAATCTCAGAAGAGGTCTGATTACTTGTGAAAGCTTGTAAAAAAAATGGTTTAATCTCTATAGTACACGGGACAGTATTTATCTCTGTTCTACTAAATGTCTTTTACCTCATTAAAAAGGACAAAAATTTCTCACGATGAGTACGCCACCAGGCTTCTTTTATTCGTTCATGCCACTCATTTACTGTGGATTATAGAATTTAGATAAAATACAACAATTTTAATGTAATTAAAAAATATGCTTTAATAACTTGTAATCGTCTATACGGAATGGTTTACGGCATCTCCGAGCACTTGAGGCCAGGAAGTCTTCGATTTTAATCTGATTGGGTATATGCAGATCGGTGTGATCTCTTATTAATTTATTAATAAAGAAAACTAGTATACTTTTTATTCATACATTGGTCCTACATTTGATATTCAACGATCATATAAGAGTTGTTAAAACCCATGCAAACGCTTAATATGAAAATGAATCAAAACATTTTAATTTCACGTGATATACTTGCGTCTTATATTTTAACTGTCAAGTCTGCGCTGTTATATGCATGCATTTGAAAAATATGCATTCCTTATATGAGTGATACTGCCTTTTATGTCGCAATGGCCTTTTTGAAATTTACACAATACTCGAACAGGATCTTCTCTTGCCCTTGGCCCTTACGCATAATGCATTGATGAATTAGAAATTTTCTTTGATTCATACCATCCTGTGTGAGCTTAAAATGTCAGTAGACATACAGTTATCAATAGAACGGTGTGACCTAAACGTATGTGACTAATCATAGCCCCATTAATACATTTTGTACATATATAGATCAATCATTGGCATCAATAAATGTTACCTTACAACTTGCAGCGTTTTCTCGCATTATATCTTAATTAAAGTTATCATATATAATTAACCTTACTTAATATTAATTTAACTTGGTTTGATCATAACGATTGTTTGCCAAAAATAGCCAACTGACCCAGATGTAGCGGGGTCAAGATGATTATTCCTAAATAATGACTCACGGTTATTCGAAGTTACCGTCTATACATGATTGCCACCTGCGGTTGTTCAGGGAAGTTGTACACTGCGTCTAGGACCGCCCGTTGCGGCATGAATATCAAAAGTGAATCAATGAATCTCAAATGGTTTGATATAAGGTATTAACTAATCATCCACCATGAATCTGCCTGTCAAAACGATAAGGGTGACGATGATAACGGTTATTTTCATTACATTTCGTTCAGATGTTTTATTAGCTATAGCAAGAACTAATAATAGTAGCAACGTGTCCATTAATATGAATATCAATTAAGTGTATATTGCCATCCTGAACAAGTCTCGTTCAGGAGGTACAGTATTTTTGTCAAGTGCAATAAACCACGTAATGGGAGACTTGCATGTCGTTTGTTCATTGCAAATGTGTCTAGTACCTATTTTGACTAATTTATTGCAAATAAGTTTCGATTCTTATTTCTTAATAGACGCCAGTATATAGGGATTTTGCAGTCTTTAGAATCTGTGACTGCGATTTCATTGCAAAAATGATCCTTCATAAAAATCTCGTGTTTTATATTTACGAACAAGAGTGATCTAAAATCAATAAACTATTTCACGTGAACTTATTTGATCGGTATCCCACTCCGGATTAGGGCCGGACATTGGCCGACACCTCAGGAATGTACGCAGATCGATAATGGACTCCATTGTTCGACAGACTTGAACAGAGGCAGTATGTATACCGTCTCTTATATATAAGGGCGACTAATATTTAAAGCAAATAAAGAATCACATTCTTCATTAGCTAAATGTCGCCATTTAGATAACTACTGCGCTTGTACCTTCATTACGCCCACTTCCTCTAGCTGACTATGTTGAGAAACGTATATGATATATATTGATCTTTAGTACGACGAAAGCAGAGTCACAATTAGCCATCAGAAGCTGATGACAAGAGCTCTTAAAATAATTAAACTTCATAACCAATTTAGATATTAATTTGTTATGGCGTTAAGTAGCATTCTTCCAATTACGAAGCAAAATTCCTTACATTTGAGCTGCCAATTCTCGGTAAATGGGTCTTGAGGTTTATAAAGAGTTTTATTAGATGAATCAGGGAGTAGTATGGCAGTACACCACAGTACGTGTACCTGGAATGATCGGATAAGGGAAGCGCATTATCCATGGGTCTAAATAATACTTGGAGGCAGCTGATCGATGGACAGAAAATAATATAATTATCCTGGATTTGAAGGAAACGTTTGAAGCATAGAATGCTAGCAAGTCTGAAAGAAAAATTATTGGATAGACGTCTACCATAACAAATTTAGTAAACTATCATTTGGGGGACTTTGCATGTATTAGGTGAGAACCACAACATGAACTAATAGCACGCAGGAAGAGAAAGATCAGCGCAAATATTAATCGAGAGGTAAATCGTTTGGCTCAGAAACTTTTAATTAGAGCGGCCAATGCAAATCTATACTATATATGAGTGAACAAGTTATCACTGCAGTGTCTCCAGCTAAGCTACTTACGATTATTGGTAATCAGCAACCTAAAATAGATCTTATTAAACACAAAAAAATTACTGATAAAGCAGAATTTAGGAGCAGAATTTATCGACCGAAATAGTATGTTTATCTTCTTCGCATACGTAGTAACCAATAGTGAAATCGATCTGGTAATTCATTGTTTATAGTTCGCACAATTTCATACTTGATGAATGTGAATGTGTACGCATGAAGATATATTAATGTATCCAGTGTGTTCATGGCTTTCTAAACTATTTCATTTTTATTATTAATACGTAAAGTAAACATCACAGGAGTTAGGCGCGCCATCTATTTTGAACAGTTGATGATTCTTCCCCACCCAGCCGCTAGCTCCGCGGCCAATCACACAGCTCGAAATTGACTGCTGTGGTCGAATTGTTGTTGACGTGTTTACAGGCCAAGGTACTGTCGACAAGTGCACCGAACGAGGCATCAACGAGCCGGCGTTTATATATTTGATATATGTTTATTGCTGAAGCCTGCAGGCGCTCTTCGATCAATCGTGATTTGCAGGTTGTTTCGTGGACAAAGGAGTTTATTCGCTCGTATGTTAAACGATTTGACCGTTTCCAGCCACTGAATATTCGAGATGCGAACGCTTGTCGGTTTGTTGGCGTTGGCCTGCGCTACCTTTGCATCGAAAGGACCCAAAGTCACTAACACGGTGCGATACCTTAAGAGAGCATACTTCTTATAGAGGCAAAACGAAAACAGAAAATGTTATGTATGTGTGTGCTCTAGACCGTTGCAATATTGCGAAGTACAGTGCCCCTATAGTGGATTTATTTTCATTTATTTATACCTGGTATTGTAGCCAACTGAGTGAACAGCTTGTACCTTATCAATTCATTTTTGTGAGCATCGAGTAGAAATAAAAATCAATGACCAAGTTTTTTTTTCTGGAATTCTCTTAAGAGTACTACATGTGCATTATTGCTGAAATACCGATTGTTATTTGCCCATATTAGGTTTATATTTATATAATACCATGCAGGCCTCTAGAAGAAATAACATTTAATCGGGACGGGTCATCAGATTGTTGTCCCAGAATGATAAACCTTGTTTTTAATTCGACGAAATGTACAAATACACCAATGTTTGTTTGAAATGAGTGCTAAGAGACGCGTTGAATGGAAAACAATGAACTAATATAGTAAACACAGAATATTCACACAAAAAGCTTAGCACCGTATGAACATGCATGTTATGCATTTGAACAGCCGTTACTTTTTAAATTTTTGTAATCGATAAGTTATAGGCTGTACTCATAAGATTATGCAATATTGCATCTTTTCAAAACGACATATACTGCTATAGAAAGATACAAAAATACATATAATGCACAACCGTTCAATTTACATAAACAAGTCAATCTAAAAACCTCACCTCATTCGAATAAGGACTTTTATAAGGTCACAATAGTTTGTTGCACTAATCGTCGTTTCTTAGTCAAGTATACACTATAGTAGACATCTCGCTTGATTTAAAATTGCAGGTCCGCTTCCACTTGACGATTGGCGGCGAAGATGTGGGCACAGTCGATATTGGCTTGTTTGGAAAGACCGTGCCTAAAACAGTAGAGAATTTCCGCCAGTTGTGCATTAGCAAGAGAGAGAAGGAGACGGATGACCTCGTTGGCTACGAAGGCAGCATCTTCCATCGGGTTATTAAGGATTTCATGATCCAGGGTGGAGACTTTACCCGGGGCGACGGAACCGGTGGAAGGTCTGGCCTTCTCAGATTTTTTTCTGTTAAGTTTGTCGATATTTTATTACGTCGACACGGCTTGTTCAAGTTGATTAGGCGGTTTTTTCTTACTTATTTCTATAGTTATTTCCATTTGTCGGAATAGGATCTTCATGCTTATATGCTTAGAAAAATAGACATACCGCAGTGATGTCCACAAGATAACTTGTAAAAACATATAGTAAAACCTTACTGCCAGATAAGCTAGTAACATAGTGATTGGAGGATTTTCAAGCTGAGGATTATTATTTCTGGTCCCGGAAAGCGTACAGCTAAGCTTTTGCTCTATTAATGCAACTTAATTTGAAACTGGCATTACGCTTAACAAAATGCCCATTAAATATTAGTGAAATGCTACTTACAGCTCCTTAGTTTGCTCCTAATGGCAGAATTTATGTGAACATCAAACTATGAAAAAATATTTGATAATGGATTTTGCTATGATGCAAGACACATTATAAAGAAAGTTTTTTTTTTTACTGGCTACGTAAGGATCAAATATTGTGTTGTTCTTTACTGATATTTTATTGATTCATCTTTAAAGCTTCTGTGTCTTTATAGCAAATGCGTTATAAAAAGATATCTTACATATTTTTTTTTCTTTTCGAATTCTATGTGCAGATTAATAACTATTTGACTGATTGTATGCACAGATCGATCTACGGTGAACGATTCGCTGATGAAAACTTCAAGCTGAAGCACTACGGAGCCGGCTGGCTGTCGATGGCAAATGCTGGTAAGGACACAAATGGGTCGCAGTTTTTCATTACAACCAAGAAAACTTCGTGGCTTGATGGGCGGCATGTGGTCTTTGGCAAAGTCATCAAGGGTATGGATGTAATCCGCAAAATCGAGGCGAATCCAACGTCGAGCAACGACCGGCCTGTCAAGGAAGTGAAGATTAAGACCTGTGAAGAAATTCCAGTTCCGGAGCCTTTTGCCGTTGCTAAGAGTGACGCCACAGAGTAGAGTACATCAAACCGTGGCAGATTTTTGCCTAATTTTTGCTTCATTTTTATATTTAAAATAGGGGGCGAGAGATTTACAAACTATTTGCTTCCAGAAAAAAATTAAACATATGTAAGCGTCACTGACGGGTACGCATGTCCGCCTCTAAAGCGACTAGCTTGTGTCTATTATAATAATTAAACTTATACTTTTTTCTAATGTGGTAAGGTAATCGGCCTGAGTGTGGTCATTACATACTTTGCCTTCCAGTGTATTTTGGCTTGCTTGTAATTGTAAAGATGGTCTCTAGGAAAATCAAAGTGAGTGTTTAATTGCGTGTCGCGCCGGCAATTTTCACTGAACATTCAATTGATTACCTATAATAATCGAATGAGACGACACCTAATAGTTTTCTCCAGTATGCAAGATGTTTATCGATGTATTCGACAGACCACAGTCAGCTCACATATCTGTACAAATGTACACTTGACAGTAAATGTGTGAATGGAGATTTATGATAATAAAATCTAGTGGGATTTAATGAGAAATGAAATGAAATTTTTGAAACCGCGTGTATTATTAAATAATCATTCTTAACAAACGCGAAAGCATACCAGCTATTTGTGAAGTATTTTAGAATAAACCTCACAAGAGACGCGGAGTAGCAATGTACTTTCTGAGGTGGCAAAGTACCAAAAACAGAGGAAACGGAATTGGATAAGTCTGTGCAGGTCACAGCAGCATTTTTTGTTTTTTGTCGCCATAAATAGCTGTCACAATTGATATTCGCGTAATGGGTCGGCATTTGTATAACACTTGGTTTTATGTTTCCTGAGTAAAGTCTAGATCTTTTTAAAAAAATCTACACAAACTTTAATAAAATTTCAGTTCCACTTAAATTGATATTGTGTTCCTAGTTTTTAAAGTTCTCAAAACTGAAATCACTCGTCTTGTTGTTGCTATGTTTAAGCATAAATTCGTACCATATTTAACATTCATATAGCATTAAAAAGCGAATAATTTAGAAGCTTAGATATAAAAATATATTTTTACTTAACCCAAGCGTACTTTAAGATAATTGTCAGAAGTGAAATCAGTGATCAGAATTGGCAGCTTACTGTTGAACATGTGGTCGATGATAGTCAATGATTGAGAGGTACGGATCTTCAGCTGCCACTACCCTAATGTTTTTTCCCCAGAAATAGAAGCGAGATACTTTAGAAGCTATATATATCTTAATATGCCTACTGCCCTTCAAGTGCTTAGTCTCATTATCTTCTGAGTCCCAGATTATTATTAGAGAAGTGTAAGAGTAAGGACTAGGTTTCTTTTATTTTAGTGCGAACTTGAATGTAGCTAGAGGCTTCATTCAGAAACTCATGAACTTTACTAATTCTTATAATATAGTACACAATAACGCATATGATTTCATAGTACTCCTAATTTGAGTTCATCCATTACGTTGGCTCTATCAAATTGTCACCGTGTGGCATACTTTAACAGAGAGACATTGCCGTCCTTCGTGAACAGTGAATGAGCGGTAAAAGGCCAAGACACATTTAAACCGACAAGCTTTCGAGGGTCGTATGCGTGTGGGCAAATTTGAATTGCTTTTTTATTCATAATCGAAGACAAAATATTATTCACCTTCAGAACTGTATATTCAAATCTGCAGCTCTTCGTTGGGCAAAAAGTACATCCGCGAAGGTGGTTGTTTTTTAGTTAAGCAACTCGCCTGTGCTCTCTTATTCACAATTTGTAAACAGAGAGCAGCCGGCACGAACTCAACTAACGTCGGAAATGAATAGCAACTTATAGTATAGCGTGCATATTAATAAAAGGTTATAAACTAACTTTACATCGTAACCATAGGCGCAGCAATTACGGGCATTCTCTCGTGGCAACGTAGAAGAAATAGTGGAATCCTTCACCGAACGTTTCATAGTTTATCTTCCACTTGTACTCTTCATGCTGGTAATACTTCAGGCGGAAATGAGGTTGAGTGAATGTCACCGAAACAAATCTGCCCCCAGGGCGAAGTAGACTGAAGCCAAAGAAATAACCAAACGGAACTCGGTGATTTTCCAGCGTTCTATATACTAGATGGTAAGCCGATGCGCAAATGTACTTTAAGATTAATGTTTGGTAAAAATGACTCCTGACATTCATGAATGACATTCAAGACCAAGTTGCACATACTATCATATTTATTATGTTAATATAAGCTCTGGATTTTTTTTTATCTCCAACCATAAAAGCTTTCGCCAAAGTTAAGCGGTACCTTCCGATATTTCACCTCGTGTGATGATATTTATTAACAGCAGTAAAATTCCCTATTTAGATTAGTTTGATTATATTTCTTTGTAGAAAACATGCTTTAATACATTATATGGATTGTTGAAGGAAGCCTAGATATATTTGAACCCAATATTTGAGTATAGCATTTGAAGTTTAAGGCTGATATCTAATTATAGTGGCTGTTCCGTAGTGTACTTTCTAGGCGCAGTAGCTATTGCTACTATGATTACAAGCACAATAGGCATACCGTTGTTCGAACGAGAAATCGCACTGTACCTATATATGCTGTCGGTTGTCCTTTTCATGTCGTGTTTGGTTGTTGGCGAAGCTTCCCATGGACTTTTATCCTTAACAAACAGCACATCTAACGTTCCTTTTTCGATGATAACATCGAATTGGCCTAAATCGGCGTCGCCCTCAAGTGTGCGCATATCTTTGCAAAACCATTGCATTTGGGGATAACGCTTAGTCATCTTCTCAATAACCACCTGCGTAGAACGCCAACACAATTTAGTGCATCTTCAATATTCGACTAGCAATGGTTTACTTAGGGCCATACATTCTAGACCCGGAAGCTTAAACCTGGCTATATGTCACATTGTGGAACTGGAACCTAACGTCGTCGATTTAGGATTCCGGGAAACCACTACTAAAACATACAAACATGGTTTTAATTTTTTTTAATACCAGTGTTCGTTATCGGCAGAGTGGCTTTGCGTGCTGCGTGAAATCTAAATGCTATTTAATTTAAATTTAGTTATAATAAAACTTAAAGAGTTTGAATTGTTGGAAACTGACAACCACAGGGTGACGCATCTAAATCCAGACGTCCCTCTTACGGGTTGTTCCCAAAATTGTATCTATGCCAAGACAGATCTTTCAACGAAATCTGTCGCATGCGCTAGAAATGTCGTTCATGACGACCATATTTATTCAATATAACCACCATTCACTGCTATTAAAATTTCAAATCGGAGCGTAAACCACTAATTAAATACTTCAGCAGGATTAAACTTTAAACAAAAGTACTAAAAATGCGAAGGCTTAAAACAACAAAAAGTTTAAACGTTGCAAAAAAAGTCCACAATGTATTAAAAAGGCTAATCGCTAAACCCTATCTGGTTGACCCACTGGCAATCAATTTTTATTTCTGTAAACGGCAATTTACTTCTATATTAAAAAAGTAGGAATATCAAAAATTATTTTTGAGCCCATTAAATGATTTTCAAGCCTTTTAAATCTATTGGAACTCTTATAATTTACTTCATAAAAGTCTATGAATGCAAAAAGGAAGTTTTTACTTTTAAAGGGGTTCGTCCTGTGTGAAGCCATTACATAACACCCGATCTTTGCTCAAATTCGGAAAATAGTGTGCTGTTTTTGCTCTATCAAGTTTGTTACTTTATTCTGCAAAAAAAAATGGCTTCCTTTCAGTCTCAAAAACAGTGGATAAATGCAGGAACAAACAGTCCTCCAAAATTTGTTCGAATTTGGACATTAATCAGCGATTTAGAAAACAAAAACTGGTAGGCCTGCATGTCGTTCATTTGCCCTTTAACTACATTCACAGGGATTTCAACATAATCAGACAGGTTGGTCTAATTCACACAAATTTTTTAGCGATTCTAACGAAAGTAGATTCACAGCATGTTTCGGTATTACTTCTGTGTATTTAACTTAGTACCTTTTTCAACAAATTGAATTTACCTCTGAAAAGTCGATGTTAATAATATTTTGGAAACCATCGCTAAACATTTCTGCTCCTAGAGAGCTGTTCCCGCATCCTGTAATGATATAAAAAAAGTGAGCATAGAGCAAAACTGCTTTACATCACTCACACGTTATTGCAAATGTGTTCCGTTCCTATCCGACGTAGTTTTCGTGTATAAAACTAGTATAGCCCTCACATCTGATTTATGACATTGCACTCCTATCTGCCATTGGCTATATCTGGAATTCATGACATTCATCAACGTATAAACGATAACAGAGTCGTAGAACTTACCCAGTATAAGCACTCTATCATTTTTGCCCACATACTTCGTGATAAGAGGTTTGAACTCCTGGTATCCTTTGCACCATTCAAAATTATCTTCACTTATATATCGTAAGTTCCAGTATCCTTTCGATAAGTAATCACAATTGTGTCCAGGTAAAGTACTTAGCCTCTCCATTGTTTCCGTTCTATCTGAAATATGTACAATTACGTAATAGAATAAGCTAACTTTAGGATCATTTTCAACTTGGTAAAATTGTTAAAAATGTTTTTCCGAAATCTGTAAAATTTTGGCGCTAACTATCTTACCCAGACATTTTCCGTTGTGGCAGATTTTTACTGATATTATTTTAATGTGAACGCTGCAGCTTGACTGATGACACCTTTAGACAAATATCTGAATAAAAAAATGTAATAAGCGAATTAGAGGCACACTGAAAAACTGCGATAAAAAGGTGACTTAATGGGCTATTGATACTGTTCAGTTTCAAATCAACGTAAGATAAATCCTACGTGTGAACTCATGTTTTATTCTAATAGACATACATTATCTTTGTTAGAGATTTAAAAGAGAAAGATATAAAGATATATAAGCAAACTACTACATTGGCGCAGGTATTATAAGCGTGCAGAAACTTGCAAAACAGTAAATGGAAAACCTACATACTATAACAGCGATTAGCAAGCTGTTTATTAAGTACATACGTCGTAATTCTCATTAGATATAATGATTTCGGCTTTATGTCCTTGGCCTATTTTATATCGTGTTATCTTACATGCAACGAAATTGACTTTAAGATATACGTCGAGATGACAACAATTCAAAAACACAGCTCCAAAGGCCGAATATTGTCAAAACTCTTCCGGGGCAATGGTTCGAGGAGATCAAAATGCGTATCTACGCCAGTAGGCTTCAACACCTGAACGTAGCCAATAGGGTAACGTAATCGGAGTGCTTCTTCAAGCAAAGAGCTGGGCCAAGGTCCTATTAAAACGTTACGACTAACTTCATGCATCGAGAAGACAACTCTTTTTCGGTTGGAGATTGAGACAACAAAAGCTCGCATTGATATAGTACGGTATGTATTTTATATATTGATTAATTGACACAATACAGAATCTATAATTTTATATGCTAACCTGAGTAAAATATAAGGTGTGCTTCATATAAGGTTGCGGCAGTAAGCATCAACGGCAAACAGGAACAGTATTGTATTTCTAAACTGTGGTTACCCTATTAACATACCTAGTTATTTTTGCCTTTGCATACGAAAATACTTGCTCTAACTGTAAAAAATACTTTTGAAGAGAATCGCTTTTTTCGATCGCTGGTGCCATTCTTTAAACATTACTCAGCGACGCTTAAAATGTGGCATAGCTATAGAACAATGTTTCAAAATAGGTGATAGATTAAACGCCTTGTGTGTAGCTTTTAATGGATCAACACGTAACAGCTTACTCACACTGGCATTTTCAGTGCGTAGCTATTTACTCTTCCAAGTTAAATATCAGGGAAAATCAAGGGCCTAAGAATTTCGGTGCTTGCAATAAAATTATTAATGAAGAATTAAAACATTCGCAATTGAAGCGTGTACAGTGGAAACGTAATCCTTGTGTGATGCGGATGATATAACTGTAGTAATGCAAACTTAACTCTGCAAGGTTTGCGGGGCGAGTCCCATAGTGCACATCTCAATGAAGAGCTAATGGGTACGCATTCCGTATTTTCAGTATAGCCACATACAATGCAAAACATCGAAGCATCTCATTTAAGTAAGCAGGTAAAATTGTGCACCAACTGCGTATCACATGTTTTCATAACGCATATGACAGGAAAGGCCCATAACTTTAGTTATGGGCCTTTCCTGTCATACAAACTACCGATACACTAAGTGATCACTACGATAAAGAGAAAGCGGAACTGAGCGTTATCAATATTACCTATTGAAAGAAGCATTAATACCTCTGCTACGAATCTTCCTCTACAATCTTTTTCGCTTCTGCTCTAAACAAGAGCAATTTTACTTGTTTTCAATATTGAATTGGCTTTTTGAATCAATAGTCAGAAACCGCGAAACTGCGGATGAGAACGACCTGGTCCGATTAGTCCGCGCCAGCTAAGAACGGCCGTAAACGAAGCTTATAGGTATGAATATTGCAACCATTTTCATTTTAATTGCGCCGTTTTTCAAATTTTCGTCTACATATATTCAGTTATACTAAATTAATTAAGCAGTATACTACACATTGAATAACTTCATTTTCGTTTCTTTTTTCTGTGTCAATAAGAACGTCCTCAAAATAGAAGGACTATCTAAAATTTAACTTTTCCTAACTGGACAATATGGCATAAACAAAACTACCAATCCTCCAAAAAAATGTCAATACAAAATACTCCGCGGGTGCGCCGTCTGAAAAAAATCATTGAACAATATGAAAAACGTTAGACACCTACGACATTTCGTTGAGCAGTAATATACGAACACTTTTTAATTTACCTATATGATGCATATGGATGTCATATCCTTCGCTGATTGCAAATCAGTATATGACTGATAGCAGTGCCCGTAGTCAATGTAACTGAACAATAAACTTGACTATTACACAGCCTAATCATACTTGTATTACCAAAAACTTATACTACTAATAGCTTTGTTCACTTGAATGGCAGCACTTGAAACGGTCTCAGATGAAAATAATTTTTGCTAGAAGAATCGGGAAGTTTGGACTGATGCCGACTCACACATACAAATACCATGTAGAACACAGACGCGAGCGCAGTCTGCAGTGGAGAACGAGGATGACAAGGAAGTATTACGGTTATCCATAGGTATTTCTCATACTACAGACATCTACCCAAATATAGATCGCCATAGCGTGAAGAAATTGTCTCCCCAGACATCTTCCTAAAAAAAACTTGTAGCTATAAGATAAATTTGTGCCATCTTGTTCAAAGCAGAACGGCATGTTTATCTCCAAAGCCATGTGCGGGGATAACTCGCGGAACTTGAAATGTGCGGAATACGATAAAATAGCTGGTTTTCAGAGCTAAAAGTTGCGACACCGTATTTGAGTACACATATAGTGTGATTAGTTTTTTTTAACATTCATAATAACTGTTGTATCTTTGGTGGTGCAGGAAGGAATAATCGAATCTATAGCCCTCCCGTGCGTTGTGATTCGGGTGCAAAAAGGTGAAAACAACTAACTTCGCACTAAGGAGAACAACGTGTTTATTTATTTGTTTAACATACAGCCGGCATTTTACTATTACATTTTATCATGATAATACATATCATATGAAGCCTGGGTCCGGTATCAAGTCATAAATGTCTTAACCACAGCTGGAACGTACCTTTTAGCAAACACGAAGCAAATGTCATATCATATGTCCGCTTGTGAGGAAAAGCGCAACCTTAAGAGCTACGGAAGCTTGAAATCGTTTAAGCGTAGCCACTTTTTTAAGTGCAAAAAACTGGCTTAATTTTGAAACAAATATACATATATTTACAAATGATCGGGTTTAAGTTAATGGCACATAGGCATAATAGCATAAATGTAAAGGAAAGATCCTACCGACTCAAAAAAAATACGTGTAATAAAAATACTTGTAACATATTTGTGGACTCCCTTTAAATATATTTGTTCTCAAACCAAATGGTTCGCGCCCTATCTGCGGAACTAGAATAAGCAATATAAGTTTGTGCAACTTACAGGACAGGCATATTCCTGTTAGGTATGTATAATTATAAACGATGCAGGCTGGTATTGCCTTGTTAATGCTTTAATATGCCGTTTAGGTGGCTGCATATTAATTATGTCATCTGACGCCTCAAAGAAACGCGTTCAGTTCGATAAGTCGGAATATGAATTACGTAAAAGGCCTCCTCCACAAATGCCTAGATCTCCTAACCACGTCTACGTGAATACCCGAACCGAATTTAAACATCAGTTCGAGCGAGCGAAAGATGTGCTTCTTGGAGGGGGCAAGGAAGTTCATATACATGGTATTGGAGCAGCAGTCAACCGTGCAATTAATATCGCTTTACAGGTTAGATAATTCTGTTCAATATTTTTTCATGTTTTCTTTCGCTGTTTGTCTTTCAATCTCATTCTATACAATAAGTCACGCTGGAGACGAATCTAAGTCGTATATGACTGATCTCAAATACATTAAAGCCTATTGCCGATATAGATGTCTACATTCGTCAGAACAACCTGTAGCTTCATATCATTCACAGTTCGATATTTTATTTCGCCTAATGCGGCATCTCTTAGTTTCTCAGTCGAACAGAACTAGGTTGTGAAGACCTTTCCTACGTGACTAACTTATTAGGCCAAAAATAACAAAATACAATTATTTCAAATTAGTAAACTCAGCAAGAGATGCGCGTTCGCCGTTGTTGAATGCGGTATTATTACTGAGAGCATGCCGTTTAGAAATTGATCAAAAAGATGCGTGCTTGATGGATTAAAATCGGAGCATTTGTTATTTCTTCATTGGACTTGGAATCATTTCGGGAAGTTAAATTGGTTGGCTATATATATATAAAGAAGTGTGTTGTTTGTTACAGGTTCAATCACATTTCGGAGAAGTAATGGGAACAGATGTACGAACCGGAACAATAGAAGTCACAGACGATCTCGAGCCACTTGCAAATGATGTTGAACCGCAAAGTCAAAAGCGAAAGGTTTCGACAATCCATATTCGCGTGTTCCGCAAATCAGAAAGCGCTACAACCTGAGGGGTTGGTCCGTAAAACTAGGCATTTGCTGATTTGTGCTGAAATACTTTATCATCTTGGTGTTGTTGGTCTAAAATGTTTGTTTGGGATGTCTCGACAGAACCGTCTAGAAAATTAAAATCGTTCAATGAATCAACGATAGTATATTCCTTACCCTGCATGCTATTTGATTCAGCAGGACGGTCTCTGAAAGCGTCTCTAGACAGATATTGATACAAGTATGTCACTGTAGTTGACTTTTTCAATAAACGTAATGCCAATATGTATGCTAATTGTATCCATGCGCCCTTCAAAGGTTAAGTAATTGATGTACTTATTTAATCATTTCGTCTTCATCGATCATGTAAATATTACTACAGAAAAAAAAATTATGACAACGTGTTTAATCCAATTGTGCGCAAAAGCCGAATTATCTTACTGCTCCCTTTGGCGATTTTTTCGGTTTATGAATAACAGGACAAGCTCTTACAGAGTATCTTCCAGAAATACAAATCCGCTGTAGTTCTTGGTTTGATTTTTAGTTAAATTTGAAATTCGTAACTTTGGTATCGATATGCTGGAAATCACATTTGTTTTATGCGCACACAGAGTTGAAACTCTTTTTAAAGTTTATCAACAAATATATGTACATACGTGAGATAACCGATGATTGCTACTTGTGACGATGAGATAAAAACCTGAACTCTGGAAAAAAATTGCCACACATACGCATATCTTCGCTGTGATACATAGTTAGTACCATATACCGGATATCAGCTATTTAACAACAAAATTATTTAGATTTAATTTATATTATTTATTATTTATTTATTTAAAGAATAAATACACATGTAAACGCAGGCACTATAGATAAGTCTAAACCTTAACTTTCATTCTTTGGCATTAGCGTGATTAGTTCCATTAAGGTGATCACTTGTACTCATCACAATAGTCATAATGTAAGTATGTCCTGTACATTTATATCTAATAAGTCCCAGTATTATGGCTCATCTTTTTCTAGATCGCGTTTTGCTGAGATATCGGTACAAATTAGTGTGATGCTCTTCCGTCCGCATGTCATGTCTTTAACGGTGCATTGGTCTGTTGCATTAAATTTCTACAAAAGAATAATGAATTACTTTAATGAGTTTTTGAAGTGTCAAAGATATCCAAGTTCTTTAGAACTGTTAATATTCAAGTCTAAATAGCTTAAGCGCCTTTACATAGCTTAAAGGTATATTTGTAGATGGGTAGTAACAAATAAGTTCTGAAACATTGCGCTCCATCAAATATACGGGCAAACAGAAGATTGTTTGCTTGTGTATTTGGAATCGAAAAAGCTATAATACGAAGTTATGTAATATAGGTTAAATGTCGATAATGACGATAATAAACGTGCACATAGGTAATCATAGCGTTACCTTATAAGATAATATTTTGATCCACAGCTAACCGTCGTGAAGCTATTTAAAAAATCGATATGCACATCGTATTAATCCTGGTTCATAGACTTTTTGCTACGCTTCAGATTGAATTCGATTGCAAGACACTAAGCATTCACCAGTCACGTTGTGATTGTTTAGCTCCTCGAAGCTAACCTCTTCAGCTGGACCTGGTTTACCGGTCGACCTATACGATGTATTTAGTTTCGTACATACACTTACGACGGTACCTAAACATCTAGAAAATTATATTTTTTCCAGAACTGTTCGAAATCAAGATTGTTCAAAGCTAAGTTGATAGATTAAAATTTGCGCTTACGTCTGCAAGCTACCAGTCATCGCCGTTATCATCATAATCCTTGCCCTTCAGCTGGCTTAACAAGATGTCACGAACTTTTGGCCGAGGGTCCTTCTCGATCTCAGTTTCGAAAACCTGGCCTTTTTTTGCTGAGAAGCGCATTAAATATTATTCAGACTGTTATTGATACTTCATTTAGTGAGAGCTACGTTAGTTAACAAACAGGGAATAATAAATAACAATAATAAAAGTGCACGTAAATAAAAATAAGAGCTTACCAAGAACCCATTCAACACTTTCAACGGTCGGCCGACTGCCCCAAAATTCGGGACCTACAAATTTTTCCACCGGTTTTCCATTCCGGTAAATCATTATACAGGGCAAATGCGATTCCGGGAAGTTAGGTATGCAACATTGGGCAAGACCTTGAAGGAATTTCACTGCAGGGAACCTTGGTGCTAATTTTTGGATATGTTGATTAAGTAGGGTACAAACCGGAACACCACTACTAAACAAATGTATCACCACTGTAACATCTTCACCGGCTTTGTTCACCTGTAGCAGAAATAAAAGCTGACTGTAGTTTATTGGTGGCAGGGATGCCTAATTTTTACTTTTCGTGATAGCTCGTGAGAGCTAAATAATATTTTTTTTAGCTATGCTACGTCACTTGTTCTGCCTAACAATAACTCAATCGTCGAAGGACTATGTGTTGGGGACGGCAAATAAACAAAAACAAAAGCAGGGAAACAGTAAAAAAAAAAAGAGTTTGAAAATAGGAAGTTCTTCTAATTGATTCAAATTATGTCAAGTACACTGAGGGTTATACCAGAAATTTCTGTCAAACAGCCCTCACCTGTTCGACCCAGTCATCAGCAGAGATCTCACGTACTTCACCAAACCTCGCTTTTTTCGCAGCTTCCCACATTTCAGCAATCCGCTTTCGACGAAATTCTAGTAGAGCTCGCTCATCATCTTCGTCCTCAAGGAGTTCCAGTTCGTCGAGGGTTAGATTGTCCAAATTGCGTTCCTACTTCCGAAAACACCCCTTATTCAACAATTTACTTGCTCCATAGTTTGCTTCTACATTTATATATGATTTTAACCCGGCGTAAATATTTTATGCAGTTTCTAAAGTAGAGAACTGGCTGTTTTCTTTACCTGCGTAATAGGTACACGTTAATAGAGAAATGATTCCAAATATTTAACTGATTCGGATAAAGAATATAACGTTATGATTCAAACAACAAGTTATTTGCAATGATCACAGTGCCGCGCGTTGGTTGGAATCTAGTGTAATTATTAGTATTGTAATCATTTTATAGATAAATTTAACTGCGATAACTGATCTGCTTCATTTTCTAGCGAGTACAAGGAAACTTTTATTTAAGAGAACTCACAGGCTTAGGATAGCCACCGATTACTTACAATATATAATTATACGTCAATATGGGTATATGCTGGCACTTAGATAAAGACGGCCTTAAACATTACTACAATTACGTTAGAAATTTGCGACCCTCATCAGATCTTTGTTTCTTGGCCAAAAAAATTAAATTAATCTTGATACTTGAGATTCAAGCCGTTTTTTCGCAGCCTCGTCGACTAATGACACAATCTGTTCTTCAGTGATCTCCTTTTTTTCAGGGATAATCCCATGCCGTCGCAAGGCATCATTCCATTCTGTGTCCTTGCTAGAATCCTGTCGAAGAAATAAGTAAGTCAAAATATATATGACAACTAATGTCGGCCTTAAATTGAATATAGCTATCTACACAAAAGACAAATCTTTTAGTAAGTAATAAATAGAAATGTAATATATCGATGCAGCTATTCTTCCTAAGAGAGCTCTGGGGAGAATTTAAAGACGGTTATAGGCTTTTGATGCGCTTCCGTTAGCGCATCCGTTGGGTATAATTGTCGCCCAAGGGCATAGAAAATAATTTATTTTAAGCAAGGATATCAAGGATATAACAGCATTACTTTTTACGTACGATGAAATATGTGTCCGTAGGGCTCAACAATATTTTAATTTGACCGTAAGAAACATATAGCACAAATGCCTTGAAGGGCATCGCATTTCACTGCACTCGATGAAATGATTTTAAAAAAATACCGAATTTATTATTACAGTAAAGGCAGGCTGTGTCTACGTCGTTTGCTTTAAATACATTGACATATTTTTTTCTTTTCTATTGTATAACCCTAATCACTAGTTGAGATTTGAAAGCATCGGTCTAAATTTTCTGTTCTCCTTGACTCACAGATTTGTGTATTCATATACTCCATGTAGCTCTGAATAGAATAAACTGAACTTTAACATTTTAGGGCAATAATTTGGATAGGACGCACCAACAATAGTTGAAAAAAGATAGTGCGTTTAAGGCAATTCTTCTAACTCCATTCATTGCTACCTACGTGCCCATATAAGGAGCTGGCCGCAAGTCATTATAGAAAACACGGATTCTCCAGAACTCGAACACCATAATACATATATTTCTAGACATTCCTAGACATTTATATAAATTTAGGGCTAACCTGCATGATGTATTTAGTCGGTAACTTCTTCCACAGCCTATCGGAAATTACAATCGCGTATTGGATGCCGATTAGTCACAGGGGCAATTTGCCGCACGGAAAAGCATTCGAATTTTACGAAAGCAGTTCCGAGATCTAGTGTCAAGGGAAAACCAAAATATAGAAAATAAGTTTCACAGAAAAACCGCGGAAGCATATATAGTAATAACTATTTTAACAACAAATATACCTTAGATTCTTAACTCTGGTTTCCGAAACTGAAATAGCAGCTTTTGGGAATAACACATTAGTTCCTAGATATCCGTAGTATTCGCGTTCCGAGCGACGCGCACATGGTGAGGTTCAGCTATTTCCCATTAGATTTTCCGCGCTTTATCGAAAACAAGTGTATTACACTATGATGCATATGTGTTACTTTTCATACTTGATTAGCTTTAAGACAATTTTTGGGTTTGAAAGAGTTGTCGTTTGCCTAGTTAAATGATCACTCTTAACCGCTAGATAATCGCACACAGTTAGAAGATGTTGTGAAAAACTGAAATCTATGCGTCATATTATTTATATTGAGACCCGAATTTTCAGAAAACTGGATTTATGTGAATCTATGAAGATGAAATTGAAACAACTCAAGTCTATGTTGGATAATGTAGAGACGTTTGATAAACCAAATATTCACTTGGAGCAATACCCAACGCCACCTGATATTGCCGGTCAGTAGAAAATCCGATGACTACTTACACATTGTTATTATAAAAATGTTCCTAGCGGTCAAATTGTTGTGCTCGTTTAAGCTGGTTTAATACAATACATTTCAGGATAAGTTTTTGCGTTTATTTAGATAGTTGGCTTTTGGATGAACTTGAATAATTTTCTCTTAAATGTTATACTGAATCATTGTATTCAGGAAGTTCAGTTGCTGTATCTTCTTAACGCCTTACCTAATGTAGTACTTACTCAGCGTGACTTTCGAATCTACTTTTGCAGCGAATAATATATTGTTTTGAATTAATTTCACAGCGGAGATGTTGTATCACATTTGGAGCGCAGGAGAGATTGAGAATCGTGTGGTTGCCGATCTTGGATGTGGAGGTGGAATTTTATCCGTGGCAGCCGGACTTCTCGGTGCTGAGTGAGTTTTGGCAGGAAACTATCGTGATTTGAGGAGATACAAAACACAAATCCATTGCGAGTAGCCAATAACAAGATAGCAAGGGGCTGTGCGAGACAGCAGGTGTGCAAAAACAACCAATATCGATGTATAGGGTCTTCATGCATGTAGATCCTTAATAAATCGGAATAGAGTTTGATTTATGTGCAAACAAAAACATAGACTTTATATTAATTTCAGTTATGTTGTTGCGGTTGATATCGATGAAAGCTCACTTGAAATTTGCAAGAACAATATTCAAGAATTTGAGCTTACAAAAAGCGTGGCCCTTCTCCAGACCGATGTGTCATCGCTAAGTCAAATTTTACGAAACCCAGTAGATACAGTTATCATGAATCCTCCATTTGGCACTCGAAATAAAGGTACCTTCCTCGGCTATAATTAATATATCTAATGTATATTGTTCCAGGGATGCGCAAGGAGCAGACCCCAGACTAGTTTCGATCTGTCACTCTGTTTAACCAAGCTTCTTTTTTAGCAGTTGTAGATATACCATTACAAGAGTTTTTAAGCTCTAAAGATTGGGCATTTTGAAATTATTCAAATTGTCCATTTGATAAAAAAAAACACTCGACATATTTGTTTATTATTTGCTTATTATTTTTGGTACACTTAGTTCTTCCTGCTCTGTATTTACAGGAGCTGATCTCATGTTTGTAGATATAGCCTCATCTCTGTGTCATGGTAGTGTCTACTCACTGCACAAGAGTTCTACTCGCCAACACCTTGTACGAAAATCTGAGCAGCGTGGACTTAAATGTGAGATTATTGCTCAGCTGCGATACAATATCGATCGAATGTATAAATTTCACAGGGATGATACGCGTGACGTCGAAGTTGACTTTGTCCGGTTTATTAAATTGCCGCAAGAGTGCAACTGACAGTTATGGTAGACACTTTTGATAGTTTCTTTGCCTATGATCATTTACGGGCTGTTTTATTCCATATATAGTAATAAAATTGGAGAAAAGATGCCAATATATTACAGACATATATATTAAGTTTGTTGTTTTCCAGAATGGCATTTAATAGGACCTTCGCAGCAGCGGAATATGATTTAAGAATAAAAACAGGTCCCCAAGCATAACAACATGTTCATGTGACGTTTATTTCATTGTAAGTTTTAATTCTTGCCGTGTAGGTTGATCATGAAAAATTCATATAGCCGCTTTAGACGAAATCGATTTATATGTAAACAGTATCATTTCCGATAATTTATTCCGAGCACGCGTAAATCTGATGTCTGTAAGGCATTCAATGGAGTTTTTGATATCGTTATTTCAGAGCTGGTAGGTTATATTAAATGATGGTATTAAATGGTGATGATATTAAATATATTCAGAACATTGCCTTTCAGCCTAAACAAACACGCATGAAGATCGTGTTTAAAGAAATAATGTAGAGAAATTGTTGCTCTTGAAGAACTATAACAACTTGGGATTGAGACCCATTTAATTATTTCATGGAATGGAGTTCTAAAACCAGTATTGTATAAAAAAAAAAAATAAAATTGTTTTAAGTAACAACATTATGGAATTTATTTAATTGCGATTTATGTACATTATTCCACGGATGTATATATACACCAAGCTTTGTATACTCTTTCTGTGAAATAAAGAACATTTACTCTTAATAAAGAACCATATTGCAGTTGCTCTAAGCAGTAGAGGTTATATAGTACGTCACATATCACGCACTTTTGTATTAGGCACGATGGTTTCACTGCCACAAGTGTCGCCTATCACAATAGACTCAGTTGTTTTATTGACCATTTCTGAAGCAGCAGATTCGATATTGTTTACCACGTTCTCCTGTTTTTCATTTCCGCACTTAAGTTCTTTGCTCGGTTTAGTTTCCGCAGACGTTTTTTCGGCGTCCCCGGATTGATTCCGTCTTTTTTCACCTTTGCTATCTTCTTCACCATCAGCATCACCTTTTAGCTGAGCACCCTTGCGGGCAGGTATAGCTCTAATTATAGCCTCTTCCCATGTCATTCCATTAACGCGATTTAAAAGAATTTCGAAACAATGATCGATAGTTAGCACCTTGCGTGTCTTCATGTCCACATATCTGTAAACAAGTTCAATTTGCACCGCATTAGATGAAATACTTTTTGCGAACAATTTTACACGAACACATTATTCATTGCTTTAATATAAAAGGTTAATTAGATTAGTTTAATATAAAAGGTTAATTAATAGACTTGTCAAACAAATAAACACTTTTTTCGGTTCGAGAAACTGTAGCTGATGTATATGATATACTTCCGCATACCATAATATCGCAATATAATTGCAAATGTCAGCTTGGAGTGCTGGCCTTCTGAATATGATTCGTTGATAACCTAGGTAATTATACTGTTCGATTTAAGCTTGGGGTAAATAGGAGACATAGGAGACGCCACTGTGCAGACAAAATGTATATTATGATAAGGGTTATTTATAAATATTTTTTATTTACTTGAACACTTACGTGATCCATAAGCACTTCCTTTAGATCATGCATGTTAGACAGTTAAAGAAAACAGAAAGATGATAAGACATATCCAGTTTGGAAATTCTTTTAATTCACCTGTCTAGAGGAAGCCTAGCATGTCGGACCCCTGCGTCAAGCGCTCGCTGGTACGTGACCCCTTTAAGTCTATTGTGGTCGACCATACACCCGATAATGTAGACTTCTGAATCGACAAGTTCACTAAGCTCCGTATCCGAGTCGCCAGATAAATAAACCACCTATGACCAAAGATGAAGGTTACAGTGTTGATCGTTCGACTAAAGACAGCTAAAACTTTTATTGGAATAACTATCTGATGCCGTTATATAATAGCAGAGAAACCGATGTATTATGTTACCGATGCGAATAAAAGATACATACTAAAAATACAAAAAACAAAGGGTTTTTTTTGTTTAGATCTGTTTAACGAGAAGTAATGGCCAGTCCATCCGGATCTATCATTGAATCGATAACCAAAACTACATCTAAATATACTTACTACCACCCTACTACAAGGCATATTTAAAGCAACTTGCCTGATCCCTGCCAAAGTGCTCAACATGATTCGATTTAACTTGATGTACATCCCAATTATCGAAGCCAGGCATCTTTCCAGTCCAGTATTCGGTGCCTTCCAACCCAGTTAAATAGAGCTGTAGGGGACGATCGGCACGGCGATTCATCGCATAGCATCGTTGTGTCTGGAATCATGTAAAGTAACAAACATCTTGCTTTAGCCATTATATTTGAATAAATAATGATTATAACAATTATCATGATTTTTGCGTTTTGTTTCACCGTTTTATATGCCAATGTCACTGATTTTACTATAAACAATTAAAAAGTAAATCCGTTAATTAATCAATCTCACAAACCTGTTTTCCGGCTTTCATCCGTTCAGCATCGGTCATAAGACCATGAACAGAAAGATCAAGAGCCACGCGGACTTTACATACGCTGTTCGCCATTCGGACGATGCGCTGACGTTTCTGTGAAGGCTCTCGAGTCCCCTCTCGAATTTCAGACTGGCGCTTCTTACGCTCAGCCTAATGGCAAGTTACATAAACAAAATTCATTTTTGCTGGCTTACTCATTTTTTATATTTGTTTTATGATTTGATGTGACCATTTGGTGGCAATGTTTTAATTTTAAACTCATCCAAGTCAGTATAATCTGGTTTAATAAGAAGGCTCAGTTTAAAACACACAGATGCACGTACTTTTTTCTCATCGTTTCTCCGCTTTCGGTTGGCAACCCATTCTACCTCTTTCCAAAGTCTTTTTCGTCGGTTTTTCGAAATAGTTTCACTGGCCAACTCAGTTTGCAGCTCTCGCAGGCGATCCTTATCTTTCTCTGGAATAGCATCATCGACTAGATACTCCCCTATCTCTAACCTGGGTTGTTCGCACGGGTTCACAACATTTGTCGCCATTAAAGAAGCCTCTTTTTTGGTGTTCGTAATCACTGAAATAGATATATTTGCTGGGGCCTGCCCTTCACTACCCCCTGAGCAGTTTTCTTTAGTCATTGCTCCGTCCCGTAGCAACAGCAATCCTGTTCGAATGAAAGTATATACAAGATAATTAGACGGATTCGTTGGAAATATCTCATGGGAATATAATGGGCACAAACATTTTTTTGCATAAAGCCTAAATGTTTCATCCCATTTTAGTAGTTCCAGGATATTTTCAGAGAATACTTTGAAAACTTTATACGAATATTTATTTTAAAAAAATTGTTTGTCAAAGTGATTCTTTTACCGATTGAAGCCCCTTATTGGCTCTAATGATACCAAAAGTTGATAGGATTATAGCATCTTTACTTAATATTTTATTATGGTGGACTGAATGAAACTCTGCCAATTCACGAATAAATGACAGATCTGTCATTAATGTTATGTTGCATTATCCTCCTTGTTTTTTCCTTTTTAGAAAATCGTTTGCAAATCATTGTATGAATCGAATAGGTACCACGCGCTCAATAATGTTCTTGCGTGATGTGTTACAGATGTGAACTCTAAGAAATGCGGATATTATTAATAGAGACAATTATTTAACATAAGTTGAATTTAATAAGCATTATTAAAGTGTTTTGATACTTACGAGTTTTACCTAGTAATACAATAATCTAAGTAAAGAAGTCAAATTTTACTCTTCGAATTACACTAACCTTGTCTGCATCAGGTGGCATCCACGTGTGCACGTAGTTATACCAACATTCCAATCAGAAAAGAATAATAAAGTAGTATAATAGCGTACGTAAACACAGGTAAGCAATTTATGCGCGTTTCATGTAACAGACACGAGGATCTAACAATCTGTATAACTAATGTTGTGTTTTTCCAATAATGCTTCTTAGCACTGATTTTCAACTATTAGTGATTGATAAATTGTTGTAACAAAATCTAGTTGAATTGCAATTATATTCAATATACGGCGCTTAATCGAAGCAACAGGTATTAACTCCAATCTTTAATTTTCTAGCACAGAAGAATACATTTTTAAGGAGCCTGAGAAATTATCTGTCTGGTTCGATCTATAGTTTTGTAGGAAGAAAGCCTGGCAAAAACATCGAGAATATGTCCTGTGGATATTTCGGTATTAGAAGCCATCGAGGCAACAAGAAGTTGGCATATATCATCGGTGGCTAAAATTTCGTTCCGATCAACCTGCCTGGAAGGAGATAGTGTGGATCATCTGAAAAAACATCGGTTCCAAGCGCATAGCACTGTTTAGTGAATACTGCTAAAGCTGACGTCGTCTGCTTCAAAACTCTAAGGCTCCTGGTAAAAAATAACAGAGGAGCTAAACGTGACATGAGCGAGCGACGTGAAAATTACTCTCCGATAATCTCTGGTATTCATTACAGTCGTTGTAAATGTATCGTTGCTCCATTATTTGTTCTACATTAATTTGCGCATTTCCCTAACATTTGGTTATTATGATGATGGCAAACATAGACAACAAATTACGCCTAGCAGATGATCCGATAGCTTGCCATTTCCCCAATGTCAACATTGTGAACGAGTACATCTCATAATTTCGTATACTTAATGTTAGTATCCTTTTTTTTTCATTTCTTACACGCAACAATTGTTATTAGCAGTTAACACTTACCGAACTCACATGTTTTAATTGTAGCGTTTTAAAGGCAAGATATTGGGATGTTTTGATTTCTTCGTAATATCTTAATGAAGCGCGCCTAGTTTACTCGATCACATTGTGCATGTTTTTACACATTCTTCTTGTGTCATATAAAAAAAAGCAAAATGAACTAGGTAATGAATAGTGATATACTATTTCGTCTGTAGATCAATCGCAAACAAAAGTAAAATGGACACCAGTTTGAGAGAGGTAATTGTATAGTGCGTTTTTAATCGGACGGCCGATTTCCTGTTGCGTTCCTCGGGTACTACTTTCAGTATTTATTGTGATTATTATAGTAATGTACTAGTAAGACGTATCTATAGGGGGAAGCATTCAAATTAGGTAAAATTTTGACGCGCTATTTGTTGTAATAAACATATGTGCATCAGTCACTCCTAGTACCAAAGGGCAGCTGGTTTTTTTCTGGAACAACACAACAAACTTGTCATGGCGAACAACAGTGCGCTCTTTCTGGAATTTGAACGAAGATCAGCTATTATGCACTGGACAAACCTTCACCAGAATTAAAAACTTTCTTGTTTGCTCAAATTCTCGCCAGTTTTTAGCGCTTTTTGAAAATCCTGAGAAAAATTTTTATGAAACAATTCGGACAGTCTTTAACAGAATTTATAATTAAAGGACTCAAAAAGTCACCGAAAGGCTCGAAAGGCCATTATTGTTACACCTAGATTTTTGATACGAAAGTTGTCCACTGTTTTGGAATGAAAACATCAATTGCCAGTTTGTTTATCCAGATGACCTCTGACGGCCAGCCTTTCTGCAGCTTTTTACGCCTTTTTGCACCTTTTAAGTTTCTTCGCTATTTTCAGCTTTTGCATTTTTTAAATATTCTGCCTGCTATAGCCCAAAACTGAATTTTTCTGGAATTTTTATTATGAAGCATAATTTTTTGAAAGGAACCTAAGTTTGCACCTACGAACATTGCGTTGTTATTAATAGAAAGTTATTTGCGGGTTAAAGAGCGAATACTCTTCGAAAATAATTAGTGAATAGTTTAAGTCCTGAACAGAGTCTGTAGTCGCGGTTAATTGTGTCTCTATTAAATAAGTGGCACCGTCAGGAATGGAACTATTGACACATGCAAAGAATTTCGTTGAAACATTTGTTTTTATTTAAATGTAGTCTTAGATTTTTTTCAACTTTAGATGTGCACCATGTATCTAAAACATACATGTGTACTTCTCTAAAAAAATGCTATAAGTAATGAGAGATTTGTAACCAGGAAACGGGAATCCTAAAATGACAGGACGGCGAGCTGATTATCCCAGTTTGTAATCAACATGTGAACCAAAGCATATCATTCACTTCCTTAGAAAAAAGACGAGCAATATTCTTATGAGTAGAAGGGTGATTAACTTGAAACCCAGTTGCAAGAACCGTGGCATACATTTTTCTTCTGTACATTTAGTACTATCTAATCCTTTGACACGTTTTATTTTGCTTTATAGCCTAACGCATCATTCCACGCAAATCTTCAAACTCATCTTTGGCTTCTGAAGAATGACAGCACACGCTTGCTTGATTACTCTTTCTGTAATCACAGAAGCTCTGTTGATCTATTATTAATTCAGTTGAGAACCAGATCAAACTTAGGCTAGAGTTTGACAATACTAAAAGGACTAAAGAGAGTCAACCATAAACTGTGTTTGAAGTATAACTGTATATAATATCGTATATTTCAAAAGCTCTGCACATCATTTGCAGTGCAAAGATGGTAACCGAACCCTGTGTTTTTAGGATTGATAAGTATGTGAGGCGCGTCATGACCGATATTTATTTAAAATTTATATCGGTGTCGATTGTTCGCTCACAATCGCGCATATGATATATGTTAAGCTTACTCTAACGTTATATACATATGATAACTGCGTTGGAAACGAAAAAACAGACTTGTTTAGTTATCATCTATCCGTGGTTTTTTTAATTTCTTCTTTTCTGAAGCCTTCTCTATGGATGCTTGCGAACGGTCTCGTTTTCGTATAAATTTTTTACTCATAGTATCCACTGTGCTCGAGTACCTGAATATTAACAAAAAAGAGATGATGATTAATATTTGTTCATATATTCAGTAGAGGACAGGCGTATCGTATAAACAAGGCCCGCACAGTATAATCTTAAGATACAATATAAGGGCAACAATAAGGGCGTGTGAATAAGTTTTTGGCTGTAATAAGGCACGAATTGATGAGGACGCTATGTTACGTTTTACGTGTAAAGCTAAAGAAACCTAAATTTGCGACAGTTCCTTGTTATACTATAATATATCACAGCATAGATAAATGAAAAGATACTACCATAGCATATTACACCTCACACGAAAAATTATTTATGATTTCTTTCAAAAACTAGGAAAATGGCTAGTTCTTTCTCCGCGTCATACGTAAGGTGAAAAAATAATGAACAGCTAAAATGAGTAAGTAAATGAGTTATTTCACCTTTCTGCAAATTCCACATCGTCTATTCCGCCCATTTCGCCGAAATGGGGATCTTCGGTCTCCTCTTGTGCAGTAAGTTTCTATTCATACAGCAATATTATTAATTTACTTGTTAGTAATTATATTATAAATACTGAAAACCATAGCTTATAATGCAGCACCTCTCCATAAAATTCATGCCTACTTTAATTCAATAGTAAATGTGTTAAATACAAACACAAAAAAGAACGAGATACAGCGCTCCAGTTTTAAGATTTTGAAGTAATTGAGTTTTTTTTACTTGATTTTTATCTAGTCCGATCATGTAAAGGATATTGTTACACCCAGTTTTTAATACGTAAATCCAAGCTTTCAGTACTTAGTATAACTAAATTTCCCAAATGCCAGCTGAGCAGCACCCGACTGGATGACGTCATCCAGCACAACAGACGTACGCTTTTCGTAAACGTTTATCAAATAGCATTGCTTTATTGTCAAAAAAGTAATCAGTCCTCTAGGCATCTGTCTTTATTATTTGTTGACATAGTTTTTGGTAAAACATTACGTGATTTGTTGGCTCTTACCTCTATCAAGGGGTTGCGGCCTTTGAAAGACATTCTGCCAGCTACCAAGTCTGCGCAAGGGACGAAACTTCGTTCGTGAATGAAACGTTTCTGCCTGCACCAGCGTCGTAATCATAATTTAATTACAGTACATTTCTAGAATTTCAATATTTTCTGAAGCACCTCTTTATAGGCTAGCATGTTTACTTTTGAGAAGCGGCTTACTTAGGTGGGAATTGTTTCTACATAATTCAAATTCATGGGGTGACAGAGTCTTTGCCAAGCGCCGATGTATGAGACTCTATAATTAAATCCGCTTCTCTTCAAAAGGCCCAAACAGCACTCCTAGACAAGAAACATAATCTTAGCAGCGCTGTATAGTATATTTATAACGAACCAAGTATCTGGCTCTATATGTAAAAACTGAAAATAAGGAAATCTAGGCAAATGAAGTCACCCTCATTTAAAGCATTCCTTTACCATAGCTTATTAACTCATATATAAAGCTCGAACGCTTTCATACCTTAATTTATAAAATACCATCAGATATCAAATCAGTTTACCTATAGATACCATCTATTTAGGAACTGTATAGATGGTGAACACGGGCTTGGAGCAACAGGAAAGTTTAAGCCGTTACTAGTAAAGCTTTCTAAGTTGGCAGTTGATACTTTTCGTCTCTAATGCAAGGTATGCCCTCTTAATCGACAACGAATCTTACTTACACAAGACGGCAAAACCATAATTGTTTAGATTAACTCAACCGAATCGGCCTGCAGAGACCTCTTTTCATGCAAAGCTTGCATAAGTAATAATCGATTTGAATGTAAAGCGTTTTACGTACGTGGCTTGTTTCCCCTCAAGCTTCTGAGTGAGACTCGTGCTGAATAGAGCTCGTTGTTTTGCTTCGAACTGATCTTTTTCATACTTCTCCTTTGTGCGTTGCATAAACTTCATTTCTAGAACATTCTTTGATAGCTGAGCATTTCTGTTTCCTGTACTCGAACGAAACATCTTGGCATCAGCTATAATCTTTTAAACCGGTTGGTTCAATTTGGATCGCAAAAAAATAGTATAGGCTGTCGGTGAAGTTTCCTAAACCCCACAGTAAATGTACATGCAGTCTTGAGATTCACTGTTCTCCGTAGTAATATAAAAAGCTTGACTGAAATCTTTAATCCAAAAAATGAAGACAGACACAGTTCTTATAAACAGAGACTTTCACTTTTTCATTATTTGACTCGATATGCAACACAATCGCAAAATTTTTAGTTAACAAAAGCGAGCTTTTCGGTGTATATTTCACTGACAGATCGAAAAGCGTCAACCAAACAATATGTGAATCGAACTGGTGGAACTATTGACATGCCGTTCTGACGTTTAATACAAACCGACAGAAGTTATGGAATCAGCAGACAAAGGCGGAGCGCGCGCGACGACAACGTATTTGACGCTTTTCCGTCAAACCAGCGGGATGAGGACAGGATGAGACAGGAACTTTTTCTATGCCATTATCTTATCATCAGCCTTGGACCTATGTTTACAAATTATCAGAAAGTATCTTATTTTTACTCTTTTTTGAATGTAACTCGACATCGCTTTGAACTGTTATGCCTCTGTGGCTTCCTGTGTACACTCAGCTGGCCAGATGATCGAAGCTGCAAATCATCTGCTTGAATTCAATAACTGGGTAGTGGCTGGCAAGGACCCGCCAGAACTCGCTCCGAAAGACGCTCCTTCCTGTTTTCCAATAGTCGGCGGTGTTCAGTCGTTTGTTTACGTGCTCTTCATTATTCCAGTTGTTGTGGTCATACTGGACAAAGTTGCGGCGGCAGGGTAACAGGTACCGCCGGCAAGGGAAATTGTTGTTAGTGTTGCCAGCAAGTCGCAGAGCGACTAATGGTCCACGCTTGTAGAGACAGCTACGTCACTTTCGAAGAGTACATCAGCGCCATCGTTCGTTGGACGTCACTTTACAACCACTAATACTACAGGGATAGCCACTTTTCGGATTGTCCTTGATGCTCCGCTGCGCCTACTGCTCATTTACCTGTGTTTGTCGTTGAGGAAAGTCGTCCTTTCGAGCCCCCATCAAAGACTGGTGTTGGCGTTCGAGTAGATTTAAAGTCTACTTGCTTTTCTTGTGTAGGTAAGTTATGGTATCTTTTCAGTTGCGTGCCATACGCAAGTCTAAGTTCCTCAGAAAAAAGTAAAATTACAGTAATGGCACTCTTGTTAATTATTTTGATCAGGTTCAACACGAGTACACGAAGACAAAATGACGACGAAATACTCACTCGAAGAAGTGCGCAAGCACAACGGGAAGAGTTCGTGTTGGCTTGTGATTCACGAAAACGTTTACGACGTCACGAAGTTCATGGAGGAGGTGAGTGGAGATTTTAACGTTTGACAAAATAAATATATGTTAAATAAATGTAAGAAAAACAATGGGTAAGCCAAGTTGGTATATTATGCGGCAGTTATTGTATATAAAATAGAATTTAGTGCCAAAAGTGTGACAAGTGTGGCACGTACTCAGCGCAACAGTTAACTCTAATGCGACGTGCAGGCCTGCGGCTAAAGGAATTTCGGGTAACACCCAAACTTGTCACGATAATAACAGAAGCCGTTGGCAGTTGTAGCAGCTTAATAACAACATTTGGCAGCTGCATATGTAGTGCTTGAGGAAACAAGTAATATTGAAGAATAGAGATTCCTCAACAATTTCTATTGATAAAACACGAATGCACCACCATTTAAGCAATTGTGGTATCAATACACATGTGCCCTTTTTAATAATTCTATCACCTATGCGTAATTACTTTCTGATTTGGCAAGTAGACACCTTGTTTTAGAGCTTACAATTAGCTCCTACAGGTGGATCCTAAATTAGATAGGCTATGGAGCTAAGTTTCACAAAATGTAGATTTCATGTTCGCTTAAAAAAAATTTAAATAACTTTATGCATATTTCATTTACGTTTTATATCTACGATTGCGATTTTTGGTCAATTACGACATATCCAATAGAACAGATTCCAGACATTTAGGCCATCAAGAGGACATATTAGGAGGGCAGCGACGAGTGATTTAGCCATAGTCGGTTGTCTATATTCAGTCCGATAGTGGTGTCAGCAATAACTTTACAAATACTTTCGAATAGCTAGCTCACTGAATGTATATTTGAATTTCGCCACTACATTTTAAACCCGATCTTAGGACGTCTACTATATGTATGTCAATAAGTCTTAAATAAATCGTCGTTCCGATATACTTCGCTAGTGTGGCCTCGCAGAGATTCTTCAGAGGGAAAACAACCCAAATGTATAAAAGCTAAAAGCTAGGCATTGACAGCAGGGCAAAGCTGATCTATCAATGCTAAATGATTGCCAATAATCTTAATAGATGCAGAAATGACTTTTTGCTCATTTTTGTAGTTGAATTCTAACTGCAAGTCATGAGGCAGAAATAACAGTATCGCTTATACTAGATACCCTGCACGATCTGTCTCTTTTCTCCCATCATCGCTACTGTTACTTATACCAGAAGTGGCGGTCGTCAAAGACAGCCCTCAGTTATGCCATCCTTGGTGTACCGTATGAGAGCAGCGAAAGAGGACCGTCTATGTAACAAGTGGAACAATCTACTAGAGGCTTGTGTGCCTGCCTAACAGTAGACGCTTGTGTGCCTGCCTAACGGTAGACGCGTCATTAGATGTTACACAGCCTTCATTCCTTCGCTTGATTCTGTAGAACAATAACAATTTTATGGAACAATAAGAAACACATTAGAGATTAAGGGGTTGACGGAGACACGAAGTGCTTATTATCACAGTTGTCAATTTCTGTATCGACCCTAATGGATAAAAATAAGACGCCCTATATTGCTCGTGTAAAACGTATAATTTTTGCGGTTTATATATAATGTCAGTCGAATTTTGATATTTTTGTACGATCTATATGGCCGTGAATCCAGACGATCATGCACGTCACTTTTCGTACTTAAATGGGAGCTGCAGTTCTATATTCAAGCGTATATAGTTTCTCTCCGATCTTAGAGGATAGTTTTTCAAACCAAATATACGAAGTTCCCTCGATTTAATAGGTGAACAAAACGCGTGCTTTTTTGCACGACTCTTGCGCTGATCCACTGCTGGTTAGCTTAACAATTCTGATGGAGTAGTTGTTTGCTCTTTAACCCCACGCAATGTTTTTATTCTGAGAAACAATAGAAATGGTATGTCATATAGTTTAGGCTGTTCGATTGCAACAGCGGTTTAAAATTTATCCTAGATTTCCATAAGATTTTGTTTTTTACCAGAAAATCATATTTTTGGCTATGAAATATAATTGAATGTTGGTGTGTTTCGTGCTGAATAAAGCTAACATGTGGAACGATTTTACCCTCGATATGCTTCAGTTTTCTAAAAGCAAAAAAAAAAACCTTAAATGCTCTAACATCTGTTTTTTGTCTATAAAATATCTCGTAGAAGTCATTCGTGTTTGCTGTCAATATTGCTGTTTTTGTTATATATCTATATCGGTTTAGGAAGATGAAAAAACGGTTAGCAAATAGCGGTACATTGTATACCTGTGGTGGAATAAATTAGGAAGTTTTATTTAAAAGTGAAAAAAAAGCATGAAGTCATCCGACACAAAGGTTAATACTGATTGAATGGAAAAGGAGGGTTTTATTAACACACAAATGTACAGCTAGTTTATATGCTCTGAATTTAAGTTCAAGCACTGATCCTAGCTCCCAAGAATGAAGTGGATGATAACTTTAATTTATAAGGCCGTGCAGCGACTCGAGGGACAAACTTTTATGCACTTCTCTTATAGTATATGCAATTGAACTACAAAAGTGAACCGTGCCTGGAATACCTCGAGCTCATTCATCGATGGTATCTGTGTATTAGCAGCCTATGTTTTTTGCCCTTTCAGTATAATGAAGTTCGGAGTTGATCTCGGAGGCACCTAGCATGAACTTTTTATGCCAGCATCGTCGAATGTCATCCACTTGTTTTCTGCCGTTGACCCGTCATAACAACCCTTGAACAGAATGCCCTTACGAGAACATGGCGGACCAGGTTACTACTGACGTTAAAACAGCCACGTTAAAACAAAGCTCAGCTGATTAAAGCTTGACAAAGAGATCACTCTTTGTCTCACAAAGAGAGACAAAAAGAGTGAATAGGGTCCTAGCTTCTAGAAGTTCGTCTTTTTGCTTTACTAGCATGTTCTTGGGCATTTAAGTAAGCCATCGAATAGGGAAGCAATACCTTGATGATTTGAAGTAGCACTGGCTTAATGAACTACTGACCTTCACCGTGTTGTTAAAAAGAATTTGCAACTCTCTAAGTGAAGAAGTTGAATTAGGTGCATTGCTTCGGTGATACCTTTTGAAAACGGCATCGTGTCTTGCGAAGTCAAAAGGTAGCATAATGGATCACATTTGTAAGTTTTCCTAATAGGATGGCCAATCAATTTTTAATTTACGAGAACAAATATAGCTCTCAATATGTAAATCCATCTCTTTTCGCTTTTTTGCGAAGATTGAACCTTCAGTGGTTAATGTGCTAATTTTATGTCGATGGTACACGTTATCCTAACAATTTTTTCAAGTTCGATACCAAAAGCAAAAACTTAGATTATCGGATTAATTGTTAATTAATTTCAGGTTAAGGCTTAACCCCGACTTAGAAACTTTTCTTAACTATAGATGCACATGGACCTAAAACAAACAAACCCTTATTTTCTGTCCATATGTGGGTTGTGTGCGTTTGATGTAGTTCTTCTGTTATAATATAGCATTACAATGTAAATAACACACGGTACAAGCTAAGTTGAATACATGGCGGAATTGATAATTCCTGCACATTCAGATAGTCGGCGAAAATAGTTTTTGATCTGTGTAGACCAAGAGCATTTTCGCCGAGATCCAGAATAATTTTTGCTTAGAAAATCTAAAATAGTAGGTCACGACCAATTTAAATTGTTGGACAAACTCTGCTTCACACATATTTTCTCATAAAACGGTTTAAACGATAGGGAAAAGGGCCCGGCAACTGTTAAATCCCAAGCTTGAGGTGGCGGGCGGATTGATATATTATTATCGAGGCGAACGGTATCTGACAACCAGTGTATACTCACATGTTGCAAAGTACTTGACTGATTGCTGAAAAATATTGTTTTTTATAGTGTGAATAGTCAGCTTTAGGTCAGTAGCTTAATCAGTGCAGGCCAATGTTAGTTGTGATAAATGCACTTGGTTAATACTTCGACCACGCAGGTAGCCAAAAGCATCACAGACCAATGAATACGCGCGACGAGTAATAATAATAAGAATAATTACAGGTAGGTTGACCGCCACATAGCTGCTATGCTGGGGTGCAAGATTCGCGCCTATAAGGTCCCTGTTTTAATCCCAAATTAAGGCTTATTACTTTGTGCAAATTGTTTGAAGTATTAATATCAATTTGCCGGTCAGCTTCATTTACGTTGCGCTCCCTATTTTAGTGTATTTAAAATAATATCCACCGCGCTCTGGGTATTAAGCGTTTGGTTGGTTTAGCTACGCTGAGGCCTTACCATTTTTTTTACATCTTTTTATGGTGATTATTTTATTAATTCGCTAATTTGCACAATTTTTTTATTTTTATGTGCATTATGTATGCATAAAACTATAAAGCAGACAGAGGTAAAACTAGCGGTTTGAAGATTAAAGAATTTGACTTTGACTAACTGTCATTATTCGATGTTCGTAATACTTATAGGTCCTTTGACTTTTTATTTAGGGACGGGGAACTGTTTTGAAAGTTGGGAATTTGAATATCAAATTTTGTGCTGTTTGTTCCACAAATCGCCCTGACGCCCAGTGTATACATAAATCTCTTTTGGATAAACTGGTCGAATCGGCGTGTATTGTTGATATTCCCATAGCTTTATTTACGAAATAAAATCCGTTTGAAACTTCCTACTGTAGAAAAAATAGCCTTCCGCATTTCACAGAGGCCGTACTACATCAACAACAGGTAGGGCTGTCTCTGTTTGATTTCCTTGTAAAGATATAAAAGAAAAATCTGATTGAGAAACAGGACTGTTGTTGGTAGCATTGAAGTAATATATTTGCTTGCACTGTATGGCCTACACTTGCTAATAATTACATACATCAACTAACAATCCAACTTGGGTTTTTCGTTCTTGTTTTGCCTAAGTAGTGAGTATTTTTCAACAGATTGGTTTGTCTTAAATGGCTGTTGCATTGATAATGTCATTCATTAACAATGTTCTTTGTTCTTTAGTAGTAGCAAAAAAAGTTGTGCTATTTGTCGTATAACGTGAGTTCTGTCATCAGTACCAGGCTCAACTGATATTATAGATACATACGTACACAACTACCTGGCAACGTTCTTATGCGGGAATAAAGCGTATGGCCGTGATACGAAAATGTACTGTCGCGGCGTAAACATCTTTTGTATATCGATATACTGTATTTATCTGGAATGGTCTTTTTAAAATTGCAGCAGTGGAATGTACTGCAAATAATCACAGATAGTTTTTTATTACCCTTCAAGGGTTTTACGATGTGTGATGGTTTTTAAAGATAAATAAAATTTAAAGGCACTCATTTTTAATTAATTTTGTATAATTACTTTACTATATAGTTAATAATCTTTGCTTAATGCCAGAAATGCAAAAAAATGAAAATTGCGTACTTTTAATGTCACAAATAGTTTTCTTGTTATTATTAGGTTGTTCAGTATGACGTGCAAGAGAGTGAATTCCAACTTTCCGAACTTTTTGTACAAGCATAGTTATTTTATCTTCAGTCAAAATATGTACCATTATTGTTTATGACCCTCTGCCATTTGGATAATAACCTATTTATTCCGCCGCTGTAAAAGCCTATGGTGCGAAAGATCAGAGCATCGAAGGGTAATTTTGACGTAGTGTTGAAATTCAGACTATTATTTTGTTAAAAGATAGTCAAGATTTTTTGAAAGAATAGTAATTTGCGGAGTAGTATCTGACGAGTACGATGGGTGACTGGAAGCTTTAGACTCCAACTTCTGCATTTTTGTCAACGTGATTCTTCGCTCGTTCTCACACTGGAACGATTGTGTTGTCGTGCGATGGAAACTGTTTACGTTTGTTTACTAATATTGGTTGTTTAATGCATAGTTTCTTCCCTGTCTGTTCCAATGATTGAAAGTACACAGTTGTCATAAATAACGAACCAGAACTCTCGATGCTGTAGTAAATGGCATCTGCATTATATAGACACTACAAGTTTTATTATAGGATTATATATATAATAAGGGTTAATATAAGACTAGGTCACTGTTATAACATGGAAGCAGCGAGCAGCAAGCGTCTCAACTTTGCTTTACACGAAACACATTTTCTTCTCACTCGAGTCTAAAATTTTCTTGCTAGGGTTTTTTTAACTAACGCCTCGCAGTGTTCCTAGGCTTAAATTTTTTATTGAATACAAGGCTTATAAGGTAAGCTGTTGCCACCGTTGTAGCCAATATGGGATTCATGTCTCTAGACCACTCGAGTTTTCTAATTTTTTATGTCCCACTGCAGCTCGCTGGTCATCAACCATCCAACTGAATATTTCAGATTCCAGAAAGAAAAACGGCATTCCCAGAATAATAAACATTTCATATTGTTATAAAATAGCGTCATTTTCAAATATGAAATCAACTTTTATCACTTTTCACAATAAACGGTCTAATAAATCGAAATAGCAATCCCCGAATTTAAAAAGTGGTAAGCGAATCGTATGATGCTTTCAATAGGAAGTAATGGTTATTAAGAATTATCACGCAGAATTATTACGATTTTCAACTGCAGTTTCAACTGTTTTTCTGCAGTTAATTTTTTTTTTTGTAAGCTACAGAATAATGGTGTTTTCATTGGTAAAAGGAATTAAAAAATTGCCGTTAATCATTGCTTCAGGAAACTAGCTCGTAACAAGAAAGAAAACATTTTTGCTTTTGGTTTTGAACCTGGACCACATCCCTTTCCTTCAACGTTTGAGGCAATCGCGTTGTCTCATTAACAACGTAAAAGTTATATGAACCAGATATAATTCAAAAGTGGTTTATTTAATGTAATTTAGATCATGCTATTTGGTAATGTCTCAGAGATGCGATTATGACAATATTCATGTTTTACTTTATTTGTTAATGCAGCACCCCGGTGGCGAGGAAGTGCTCTTGGAGGTTGCAGGAACTGAAACCACGGAGGCTTTCGAGGACGTGGGCCATTCCACTGATGCCCGCGAACTAATGGTGCAGTACAAAATCGGAGAACTCACTGACGAAGATAAGTCAAAGGTTAAGAAGGTAAGCTCTCACTTTGATTATATGCTATTAAATACTGCTGATGAATGTTAAGCTTTAGAGGACCTTTAATGACTGCTATTTGTTTAAATACATTTTTAAGTCTTCCAGTGTACATTATATGTATACATTATCGATTTATTATGCATATACCGCCGGGTATATACGTAGTAAATTATTATAGATGACATAGAAGTTTACATGATGTTTACATGAAGTTTACAGGATGACATAGAAATAAAGAATATAATTACTGGCTTTCATTGTAAATTATATGTGTGATTTGACTGGCGTTTTCTTTCTTCCATTGATTCTAGTTTATGCGTATATGTGTTTTATTCAGGTGACGGAAAAATCACAGTTCCGCGAGTCATCAACAACTGGAAATGGTGTTTCGTCGTGGCTTCTTCCAGTTAGCGTCGCCGTCGGGGCCACTATTCTGTACCGCCTTTTCCTCAGCTATCAGTCCAGCTAAGCCGTTTTTCTGTCAAATACGCAGATCTGTCACTAAGTGCGTCCTAGAATTACTCTAAGTTTACTGGAGCCGTTCGAAGTTTAACTGGAAGCTTCAGTATACTTTTTTATTTTCGAGGTCAAGTTTTGCGCTAATGGCATATTTACTCAAAAAAACTCACTTTCAAAAATCTGGTTAAGTATGATAAGCGTATGAGGGTGTCTTGACGGCAGCTTTTTCGATTTGGTATTAATAATGAACAAGCAAACAGGGACCATGAAAGAGGTTAGGGTAGTATTATACAATTTGTTTCATCATTTATTACTCTGATTTTAAATGGTATAATGACTATTATTATTAAGAAATGATGGAAAACAAGTTATTGTAAGGCAGCCTCACACGTCTTGTTTAAACGGCATGACGGCATAGAATACATGAGTGGTGAATAAACATATTTTACAGAAAAATGATAACTACACAAGTTGTTTTCTGTTGGAATATATGTTTGTCGTTTGATGAGCACAGCTTGCCCAGATGTTTACCTTCCAATTTACGCTAAATTATAGTCTTACCCTATATATTGCAGCACCAGTTTTGAAAATGGCCCTAAACCTTAAATTTGGTGGGCCCACGAGAAATTTCTATGATGAACACATTATGTCTAAGAAAATTCATTTTCGTATTAAAACTTGAAAAAACTATACTTACAACTTGAATTGCGCGCAAGCTAGCAGGAAATACAGCTGAATTGGATACAATGTAATCCCCCGCAGCACGTTGAGGGAGGACGATGTGCTCACGTGTGGTACAATTTTTCACCACTAATATCTGCTCATTATGTCGAAGTTTTTATTTGCCCGGACATTTCACTGCGTATGGTAGTTGACTGTTTTTGATTATTCCATAAGGCCTGATTCCTTGAAAATGAAGATGGATCTTCAAAATACTTTAGAAAACAACGAGAGAGAGAGAGAGAGAGAGAGAGATAATTTTTCTTAATAAAACATTGCAAAACACCTTTGGTGAACAATTGCCTGGTAAAGCTGAACCACGAGCATGTTCAAAAGGCGTAGTGCCAACAAAGAGAGAATAGTCGTCGACATAGACTGGCCGGATCCATGTAGGTTTGGCTGATTAAAACTACCATTCTATTAAACACCATTTGAGTCAGTAACATATAGTAGTATCATATTAGCTTGATAGGACAGTTTTTACCTAACAAAAAAAAAACGCATTTATCTCGAATTCTAGCAATTATGTATTCACAGCTTTACGCTTTTCTCTTATCTACCGATTTATTTAGTCCATCGTTCCGGGAATTTTCAGGTCTAGTGCTAAAGAACTCATCAAGAAAGTTTCTAACACTCCCTTGATTGTCGAATGTACTGGTATCAGTTTAATTTTTCAATGCTCGGAAAAGCTAAAATCCATCTGTGCGAAGTTTGGGGAATACGGGAGATGCAGGACGGCTGGCTGCTTGAGGTCTTGTAAAGAAACTTTCGCGGTATTTACCGTGTGACGTCTGGGATTGTTATGGAGAAGCACGTGAAATTTGTCTTGGTTAGCGGGTTTTTTTTTAAGAACTTATGCTTCTAGGGCTTAAGCCTGTCTGAGGAAGCTATGTATTCTTTCTCTGCTTCATATCCAAATGGAGCAGCACCCCTTCTTATCCAATAACAGCTCGCCAGTGCCTAACGTTATGTGGAGGCACCGTTGAGACAATGAAAAATCGTGATTTCTTGTGCTCTTCTTCACCGAATTTACTACACAGCAGGGTTTTTAATTCTTGATAAAATTCTAGAAGCTTAAGATGAGTGTTCGCAGCCCATCTTCTCAGATAATTAACGAGTTGTCTGTCGCAGGGAACTGTCATTGGCCTTAAATAGTTGGTCTAGGCAGAGTGTATCGTGCAAGACTGATATGCCGTCTTCGAATTTCGTAAATCGTCTTCGAACATTCTCTCAGCTATCAAGTTGTCGCTGTGCGCGACACACAAATATTTCGGGCTAATTCAACAGCTTTCTTGTAGAAGGCGAAATAAAGCAAGTGCTGGAATTTTTTTTTACGTAAACATCCATCCTCAGAGAGTGAACTAGAGAAAAAATTCACACAATTAAATGACAATAGGTTTATAAAAAGTAGGCGATCCCTTAAAGTATGTAGAACAAGCAATAAAAAGAGAAAAGGTACGTATACAAAGACGATTTTTCTTTCTGATAAATTTAAGAATTATTATGCTTTTTTCCCTTCGTTCTGTAAATTGAAATGATTGTGTTGAATCGTATTTAACAACAGTTTATATCGTTAATAAAGGTGACTATTAACCTCTTTTTCGATCTACGCAATCCTTCATGCGACTCCAGCAAGGATTGGCGCTGTTCAAGACGTTTGGAAGTAATCGTCAGACAAGCGTACTACAGTATACAAAAACACCTGAATTGTAATTAACTTGGCGAATTGAGAGCTCTCATACATAATAGTCGTAGTTCCGACACAATTCGCGATCATAACCAGACCCACATAATACTCCCACATAAAACGTTGATTTTCAGTTCATACGCCACGAACTTCAATCCGCGTTTAATAAACCCAATAAAAGAAAAAAAACTTTGACAAAAGTATATCGTACAGCTGCTGACAACTACCGTTACTGATAAATACGATTCGAACAGCAATACCTGCGCAATGAGAGACGGTACTGCTTTAAATGCCGCTAATTCGACTGTTTCAAATAAGAATTCTGAATCGATCTGCTTTGTATACGAAACAGTTGAAGGAAAATTGGGATAGAAAAGAAGAGTACGCGAAGATCGGTGACAGTTGTAAGTATCAGACAATACATAGGTGCTGTTGCTCATCTAGTCTTTCGTGACATCTGCTAATCCACTTAGCCCACTTTCCTTTCGGGCTTCATTACCTAAGCACACTTACTAAAATTTTGATTGCGAATCTAACGCTATCTGTTCACTGCATGCATGCGATTATTTGCACAATTCTGTCATGAATTATATAATACTTTTTCATAAGTCATTTTGTGCATGAAATACTACATGTGCACTATCATTTAGTTGCTATTATACGAGGCGCATATATGTATATATATATAACATTAACAGGAACGTTCTAACATTAGCCATAATGTCTTCATTCGACATCCTTAATGAAGTCAGTGAAGCTGGACTTGAATGTGATCTTAAAGCGGTGGTCCTCAATATTTGCTCAGAAAACAAATGGGTTAGATCTATCTTTCTGTGTAGACAAGCACGTGATCGCTATACTATCATGGAGAAGTTTCTAAAAATAGTACTCAGCTATAAAGATGATAGCAAATTCAGCTCCGTATTCGATATTCGAGCCTGAAATTAATTCTGATCGTCTTTCAGCTATATCAGCGAATATATATCAGCTAGTACAGCGAATAAAATACTAAGTTTGAGAAAGAAAATTGATAATTTTAAGATTAGAAAGATTGATAATATAACTTAGCAGCACGTTATGAGATGGTATGAAGTTCGAAACCCACTGTAGACGTCACTTTATGCTGGAAAGACTTACCCGTCTAAATCAATGCTTAACGGCAGCACTTCATATAAAATTTGAAACAAGTATTTATGTAAGCAATTACCGTTTTTTTTTTATCGATAATAGAGCGCGTTTAAAAAATCTTTTAATGATTAGGATATATTGCACTGAGACCACTCCTAATGTTTTCAGGTTTCAACCTCCTTGAGGAAGGCTAATCAATATACAATCTTTCACACATTTAGGTACCTGTGTATTTGTATGACTTATCCATATCACGTCTACTCTAAAGGGGTGTAGTTATTTTTTAGGACTAGTAGTGTAATGTTTTGAGTGGCTGCACGTGAGATAATACCGATTAAATAAATACTTTTTTTTTTACAGAGAATAGTTTTTCCTTCATAGAGCATATTGCTAATATGGATAGGTTGATCTTTTTGAGCCGAAAAAAAGTTCGATATATTGAAAACTTTGTTCTGTTCAAGTTCTACAAAATTGGCAGAACGTTCGATTTCAACGGAAATTTTCCATTTTTTTACGTTTTTTGCGTAAATTTGCGTTCGAGAGCGTAATTATGATTTTTACTGAAATTATTGCAGAATGATGAGATGTGTTGCCGTGAAAATTGGAAAACGGATTATTTGGGGTACTGAAGCAGATATTAACGACACAACAGCAAAAGGCGTAGAGTGAAATCCGCGAGTCCGTCTATTTATTCCGTCTGTTTATTATTACAAACTTTCCATTTTACTTATTATTTTAGCTGTAACAGTTATGAATCATATTGTGCTTTTACATAAGTAGGGTCTAGTAGTCCTATAATGATTATATTGATTTATGCATCCCTTTTAGTTATTAAAAAAGGACAAGTTGCAAACCATTACATACATAGTACCAAACTGTACCAGTAAGTAACATTGTCTACTCGCAAGCTTAAAGTGATAGCTTAAGTAGTAATGCAAACAATGGTAGTCAATTCGGGTCGTTTTTAGACTTTGTATTCACTGCCGATTAACTAATTCTCTAATAAAATTAAATTACGAATCACTAAGTCTTACTACTCCGTTTAACGCCATATAAGGCAATTTTAAATATACATGAATATACAATAAAACATAATCAAAGACTAAATGAATTAATTAATCAATTACACAAATTAATAATAGTTGATAAGAAGGTTTTAATTTTTTCATTAAGACTGAATAGCTATTGTTTTGACTGTTAGATACGCATTTTCAGAAGGCAACCCGCTAAATATATATATTAGACGTGTTGATATCAAATAGAAATAGACAGCGTATACCAATAATAGGGCAAACATTTATTATAAAAATATAAGGAAAACATACTAGAAGAAGTACAACTGTAATTAGCCTTTGTGGTAGCATGGAACCAGCTTCAGTTACATTTGGTATTTTCAACTTAGCTGAGATTTTCCAACGCAGAATTTAAATGAATGCGACTTTTTAATACAAGATACATTGTTATCAAAAATCCAACCGGTCTCCTAACGCCGATAACAGCGAGCTCATAAAAAAATGAAGAAGCATGCTACAATAAAAATATTTTTAGTGGCCAGAACAACCGGAGCTGGAAAATGCATCTAATAATATGCAAAAGTTTCCTCAGCCGTTTGCCTATAAGTACATGAGCTCTTATTTTATGTTCTTATTTGAC